TTGGTCGAATTCATGAATAATTGAGAAAAATCGTTATCATTATCTTCCTAAAATTTGATTGTTTCCAGCGGTAAGGTCAAAGAAGAAACAGCCATCAGAAAACTTGATAGCCACAAGTAACGTCGAGGAAGAATTGTGAGGCGTTCGATTGCATTATTAGACATGCCCTTGGAATATATGAACATTGCAATACCTATATATTTTATGAAACATGAACAATAATTTGTTGTTAGACCCCTTGCGATTATATGGAAATATTCTGGTAATAAAATGTTTTAAATGGTAAAAAACTATATGTTCCCAATCATAAATTACCTGAATATTCCACACAATTTAGTTGAATCGGCTTGGCTCATATTTGAAAAAATCAAACAAAATCTGCAAAACACACTTGCGTAATTACACTAATTAAACAGCGACATCTACATTAAAATTATAGTAATTTTTTACATTGTGATAAATTGTGTTCGTATGTTTAGAATAACGGTCTGTGTCTTATAAAATGTATAAAAGTTCGAATCAAAATATTTATGTTTTTTTGACCAATTGTGCTGAAAGACATTTTCTGACCCGAAAGCTGGATGTTTTTTCAGCAAATGGTATTTTAAAAGAATTAAGACATATACACCTTCATAAATACTGCTTCAAATGTTGCTACGCTATAGTGACGTGCTACAGATCCTTCATATTCGAAAGTCATACCATGGACTATTTGGTAAAACACTGCATTTTGAAATGCGTGCAATTTTTCCCGTTTGTGAGTTGAAGCATGCTACTTGGTAAATCAATGTAACTTTGGACAAGCTTTAACATGATATGACACATACAATGGGGACATTGGTGTATGTCTGCCTGGGGGGGGGGCATACTTTCGGGCCACCCTATATATAAAACAAATGTCGCAGTAATATGATAATAAATAATCATAAAAAGAATATTACGAAGAACACTCTACGCCTCATCTCTTTTCCAGCTTTACGGAAATATCCTGGGGTTGATGCTCTTCTAAACTCATCGTGCATTTTGTCAATACCACTATTGCAAAATGATATATCTTATGATTATGACGTCATTATAAGACAACATGGGATATTAACTTTGAGTAACGATTTTATATTGTGATTTAATTTGTGTTTTATGGAATGTATGAATATTTTATAAATATAGTAAAAATTTTATAGATACACTCCTCTCCAAAAGTTTGACAACATTAGCTCCCTCATTGAACTACGTGTTAATCCCTCTTTATGTTTGAATTTTTATTTATATAACTTGCGAAGAACATACTTATAATATTGATGGAAATGTACCTTGACTTCATCTCCAATGCCTCCAAATTTTTTCCAATTTTTTCCTTAAAGGCCCCATGTAAAGTTTAAACCACTTTGGCTAATATTGTAGTCTTACCCAATGCTATCAAAGTGTGATATGTGAAACTTTTTTTAAAATTTCAAAAAGTGGTTTTTGATAGACTTTTTGTTCCAAAATTTGTGAATTTATTTAAAACCAACTTTTAGAGGTCACTCATATCTTCTAATTAGCCACAATTCATATCAATGCATAGCATTCATCTTCCAATGTTTTTTGCCGAAAAAATTAAGAAAATCGGTTGATAAACAAGCGAGAAATGAACTTATCAGTGCATGAAAATGGTTCTGAGAAAAATGCATTTCAAAATTTTAGTTCTCATAGAAACCAATGGTACAATGATATCTAAAACATAATTTATTCTTCCTTTTAATTTGGTTAGACATTCAACATTAGTTTTTATGAAAGTCTAGCATATTTAGAAAAGATTGATATCGAAAAAAAAATTCAATTTTTTTCAAAAAGTTTTTGTTACCTTAGTGACATCACTAATGTTTCAAAATATTTTTGATAAGCTAAAACATTGAAGTGGCCCATTAAATATGACATTTTATTATTGAAATAGCGTGTCTTTTGTTCAATCTTTGCATTGGTGTTAAAAAGATAATCTTTTTTGAAATGCATTAAGAAATATTTGATGATTAAGAAATTTCAACTTTTTTTGAAAAATGGCGGGAAATTTGAATATTTGAGAAATGAAATGCTCACAACTTTTTTTTGAACATTTTTTTTTGTTCAAAAATCTCTAAAATCACTTTTTAAAGGGTGACGCATATCGTTTAGCAAATCGAACGCTCGTTTCTGGTGTTGCTCACCGTTTAGTATAAAAGGCCCGATCCCGGAATAATACTCAAGGGTTCACAGGCTCGAGGTCGTTGTGTCAACACCTCTAACTGTTATATAGCATACGTATATTATAGATCGTCACACATTTATAAAAGGGTGATTTTTATTTTGACAAATCAATTCCACATTTATGGGTGAAGTTTCAGGATCTTCTATTTGTGTATAATAAGGAAAAATTGACATCTAAATTTCCTCATAACGTAATAGCACACAGCTTGGCATATGAAATATCCTACAAATGAAACAAAGCAGTTCTAATACAAGGATTTATATTGGCTGTTGTATATATTCTTTGAACGCAATCACTCTATGGATAATGTTTTCAAAATCATTATAAACGGATTACATTATCTCAAAGACAATTTCAATAAACTGGATTTTACAGAACTCCCCTTATTTCTTAAAAATGGACTGATCCAGGAGCCGCCATATTGTTTTTTATACGGGAAGCTTATCGGAACCATTTAAGTCCTGACAAATAGTAAATGAATGAAAAAAAATATTTTCAAACTTTAGACGGGGACTTTAATTACATTAGGTCGAAAATTGATAATAAATCTGATGATTTTTTGAAAATCGACATTCCCATATAAACCAATGGGAAATGATAGGTTTGCCACACGTCATGTGACAGAATATTCATCCATCCAATTTCTTGCAAAAATACAAGTTGAATTTGCAAACTTTATTTAACAAAACATTGACACGTTTCTTCAGGTTCAGAAAAGTTATAGGTCAAAGTCAAAGTTATGTTTCAAAAATCTCCTCCTATTGAAATAACACTGGAGGCGAAAAATAATTTTCAAAAACGACTTTGGAGCTCTGTAACCTTAGTATTCATAAAGTAAACTAAACACCTAGCGTACAACAAAGAAAGACAATTCAACAATCTAGATAAAAAATTGGTGATTCTTTTACTGGATAGATATCCTGAAATCAGATTTGCCCTGAACCCACCATTTCCCATTGGTTTACATTGGAATGATGATTTTTTAAAAATTCATCAAAATCGTCAATTGGAATTGACATTTGAAATGAAGTCAAGTTACATTTCAAACAATATTAATAAGTATTTTCGTCGCGCGTTATGTTAATTAAAATTCAAACATAAATATGCTTTAACACGTAGTTCAATGAGGGAGCTTAGGTTGCCAAACATTTGGAGGGGAGTGTATGATGTTTATGTTTTTTATTATCTTCTTTATCAAATTATGGTTAACTTGGCAATTCATAAATGGGCATATATGAGAATATGCGTGTGAACTATTGGACGTTTATTGTGCCAGACATGATCTCGTAAATGCAGTAAACCTAAAAGTAAAAATGGTTCAATGGCATAATGAAGTCCTGAATGTTTTGCACGTGGTATTGTGTAAAAGGGAATAGATTATATCACAACTGACATTATGATATTAATGGGAGGACTAAAGTGAATCAAAGCATTTGCACTTGTATTCTGACATTTAACACTGTCAAGTAATTCAATTTGGTGAACAGTTTGTGAAAAGCATGCACGCTTTTTAGTTTTACAATTCTTTCGATTATCATGTTTGTTTAAACTCATAGCCCATGTTCAAAAACAAAAATATTGTATATAATTTCGATGTACTTGTTCTGGAGAAGGTAACGTCCAACAACGTCATAATTGCTCCTATATACTTATAAATTAAATTCGATGTTTAATATTTGTAAAAGATTCCCGTTATTTTTATAAAGGATGGAATCAAATTATGAATGTTTGTTGATTTGCTAATAATGCCAAATTTGGAATTCATAAAATTCCACCAAAATATCACATACGGTCGCATGTACTATTTACAATATTAAGTCGAGTGCGCTGCCATTGCCGCCTTTTGTTTGTACGTCGAAAACCTGGATAGACTATCGGGTCTGCTACAAACTCAGTATGTCTCTTCCAGACTCCCCTAAATAACACGTGACCCTCAAGTATCTCACACATGAGTGACTTCAATCACGTGACCCATTACATATTATGCAGCTGTCATATTGTAAAGTATTTATCCAAAATTTCGAAATTATTCAAAATAATCATACAACAATTAATGATTACATTTTGTGAAAAATTCAGCTAGATTGAAAAGAAAACCACTAAAATACAGCATCATTCCTGAAACATATGAAACACCCTGTAGTTCTATAATAAATAAAAATAGGTGTGATATTTTTCTTTTTGAACTGAATGTGATGTGTATTTTTGTGACTGCAATCAACATGTGTAATTCGATTGTACAGATATAACCAAGATTGCAACATACATTTGAAGTAGAACGTACAGCGTTCTTATCTAATACATAAGAATTGGCATATTGTAGGCTGAAAATCATGATACCTGATACAACAGAGCACTCAATCTTTGACATTATAATAGGATTTTGACAAGCGATTTCAGCCTCAGATCACGAGGTACGAAAACCTCATACCCTGGTCATCCAAGATGGCAGTGCGATATATATTTGTCAACGCAAAATGTCATTTTAGGTGACCTACTGTACGTCTTATGTTGCAATTGTGAACTGAAGTTATCAGAACGCAAAACTAAAAGTAATCAAACTAGACTCACCATAATATTGAGTCTAATAACCAAGTTTCTAGTTGATGTTAAGAAACCTTAAATATTACATGCAATCTGAATATTTACATTCCTCTTTTTCTTTTTTTTTTCTTTTTATCGTAACTTTATTAAATGTAAGTACAAAACTTAAATATAAAAAACTAAGCTTTATCTTTAACATTAGTATAGAAAATGAAGTAGATATAATACTTACGCATCCAATACATAAACATGGACCTTTCTGCCTGTTGCTGAAAGAGCACAATACAGCATAAATACAGTGGTTTTTATTAAAACAATATGTTTTCTATCAAGTGAAGTACCAATAATGATAAAAAATTTCAATCGAACAATTCAAAAAATTATGAATAGAAACCCCATGTCTACCCTATTTACTCAAAAGAGGATCTCCTTTTCTGATATTTACTGCATGAAAAGATTATTCAACAAGGAGTCTAAAACATCTTGAAAAATATAATGATATTGAATCAATTTTCAATGACCAAAACGATACTGAAAACAATGGATAGCACGAGTTTTCCCTATGGTAAAATAACATGGGATATGTGGCTTTTAACTTTAACGCATTTCAATACCCATCCCCTTTTCAGAAATTGTTAATATAATGGAGAGGAGACTTTTGATATGTTTAAATTGAGAAAAACAAGTTCCTCTTTTTAGAAAATAAGCCTAACATTTTTTTTAAAAGTGCCAAGCTGGGGCCTTAATCCATAATTTTTCAGAGAGTTGGATTGATATTTTACTCGCACGGGGACTTCACTTCAAAGAAAATATATTGTTTTAATAAAGGTCATCGTTTTTATGGCCAGAGAATACTCATGGTGAAAGATATGACTGTCTAAAATCACTTGCCATACTACACATGGACCTTTTCACCATTTGGCCAGAGTATACATACAGTATACCTCTAAATGTTTGATATGAGAATAACAAAAAAAATATGATTGGTAAAGGACAATGAAGCTTTTTCCTTTACAGAGGGTATGATGAAATATGTTTTGCTATATATTGATTTTCATTGTTTCCCAGTCCTTGTATTATATAAGGACGATGTGTTATTACTTGTAATTACTTATAAGTACCTGAAGTTAATTATAGTGTTGTATTTCTGGTCACATGGTGTAACATTAAACAATCAAAATACAGAGATTCTTAATATGATACATTATTACTTAAACTTCAATCCACATAGGAATGAGTGTACCATTTTTAAATATGGCGATTCCTACAATGATGTGTTGCTTACTTGAACTTGAAACAGAATGGGAATACGTTGTGGTATTTTGAGCCACACATGGTGCAACATTGACAAATACAGTTTGTACTTAGTACCCCACACAAGTTTTTGATAATAACTTTGATTCGTGATTTGAACACTCTATCCTTAACTATTTGTTATTAAATTTAGCACATATAAACTAGAGGAAATTTCCAACATTGGAAATTTTTTAATAAGCCATATGATTAATAATGGTTAAATGGCAGTAAGTTCAAAATGCTACACAGTTACCAGTGTTTTACCAAATTGCTACATTGTTTGAATGACTATGACGTTACAGCTGTACAGTACATTTACTTGTGTAGAGTTAAGTTCATTAGAGTCTTCTGAGTACAGAAATGAAAGGATTTGCAAGTGATGAGGCTAACCCAAGTAAAACATATACTATTCATAAATACCATAAATACAGGACTGCTTTGAGATGAAATTCAATAAGATGAATATTGATAAGATAATGAGATAAAAGTCAATAAAATTGTTAAAATGAACAATTCATAGAATGATTTTATGACGTCAATTTGGTGAAAACCCATTAATGACACCCTTGATTTGATTACTTGTAATTTTATTGTTATTGAAGTAAAATAAAAACAAAAAATTTCCAATGTTGGAAATTTCCTCTAGTTTATGTGTGCTAAATTTAATAACAAATAGTCAAGGATAGAGTGTTCAAATCACGGGTCAAAGTTATTATCAAAAACTTGTGTGGGGTACTATGTAATAATATACTACATTACCTGAACTAAAAACGGAATAGCTATCATCAAATGGCTCATTTGTTACATCGACCCTTCTATTCATAATATCAAGACCCTGAAAGTGTCAAGACAGTGATGTCAAATGCTGAAAGGTATTAATATATCATAAGGATGCTACTACAATATTAACATAGGGGTAACCGGGGGGGGGGGGGGTATGATATTTCATGAGTACTTTTGGGTAGTATATTTAGATCCAGGAGCTGGATAATTTAAAGTTGTACAAATGTGTCAATATTCTTATCATAACAAAACGTGAGGTGGAGTGAATACCGATACGTTAAAAACGAACGATAAATAAAATGAGTGGAATGAAGCGTACTACGTACATTGGCATGAATATCAAGACATTGGATACAATAAAAACGTTTTCGAGGTAAATTCTTAGGCATAGAGTGTGAAAATAGTGTATTAAAATAACCGTTTAAGTAATGGTTGGGCTTGTTTCTTGTGTTTTAATTTGATTTTGATTTGTAAGTTATTTCCTTTAGCCTCTTTTCTTAACCATTGTGTGCATATTTATCTTACCCACGATGCTTCGAGATTAGTTTGCGTTATACATGTTTCCTCCTTACCGCCCTCTATCGTCACTTTTTCCTCTTGTTCAATCATGTAAATGTCTGGTATATCTTGATATAAATTCATTAATCTAAAAACAGGAAAAGTGCACCGTATTAAATCCCTGTCCTAGGCTCGCGACTATGATCATTTTGGATCGAATATTTTATTTATATCCACACACCTTCAGTATAAATGATTAGAAGAAGTTGTAAACTTATTATATTGGATTATCACATGTAGATGTTACATTTTATAAAGTAGTTTAATATCCTAAAAAAATAGTTATGTTTGCATAAAATGGTCAGTTACCAGAGCGCATCGATGTCAAAAAAAATTACTCTAAAATTACTATATAAAATAGGCAAGTTGAAATTGACCAATATAAACATTAATAAGGGATACTGTTGATACCGCATGATATTATATAGATACCGCATGGTATTCCATTAATAAAACTACATATCATATAATGTGTAATATAATGTTATATGGTACAGATGAAGAGAGTTCATCGTGAGAAATAAATTTTACATACCTTTCATCGGCTCCAGATATGATGTATGAATAAACCTTTTGTCCATTTACGATACAGACTGTCTCAATAACTTCGCTTCTGTACAGATTTTGGTATTGGTATCTACTCCTAGTAAGCCTAAAATCAATAAATGAATTCGAAGCTGCATGCAAAACAATACATAGTCCAATCATGTATAGGTATCGTCGTATTATATGAACCCGTTATTGCGGATGGTATGATACTAGATAAATAAAAAAATAAAGCAAAGGAATAGCTAAAGTGTAAAGAATTATCAAAACGCGCAAAAACGTTGTCAGAATTTAGAAATTTACAATTATAATGTTAAAATAAACTCCCAGAAACAGCGCATTTTGGCTTCCCTCCTATGTTATTGAGGAACAATGATTACACTGCAAACATGAGCTTTTAGGCAATTCAGTCATACTAAAATTATTTCATCTAGTTTGGATAACTAGTAACATGTTATACTCCTTCTTCAATGTAATAATGACTTTTTCCAATGGACCATTATCGTGTAACATCTTCTGAATCGGAACATTATTCTTCATGAAAAATGCCATACTAATTTATATATGAGGCTTGGTGAGTCAGAAAATTAAAATTCGGAAGAAGTTTGCATTCTACAAATTAATTATCCGAGTGAAATACCACCTTTACAGTATTAGAAGAATACTGTTAATTGAACTTCTGTTGCAATGGATTTGAAACTATATTTTATTCTGGGAGTACATTTTTCTATTGTTATCCGGGATGACTGTGAAAAAGAGACCATTGGAGTTACTCTGCGTGAAGAGTCTAGTTAAATTACAAGACGAAGCTCTCTTTTAAGAAACAAAGTCAAACGAATGCAAAGGATATATTGACGTAGACAATATCTCCTAAACTAGACAAGTGACATCAATTTTGCACACACCGGGAGAGTTCTAGAGATTGTTCTGAAAGATATAATACAAACAGTCATCTCGTTAAGAAGGCTTTCATCATCTACATTACATGCTCCTGGTTGCCGCAATAGAGACCAAGGTAGAGCTGGATTCATATGGCAAATACCCTTACATATTCAGCCCTCATTATGGCATTTCATTTAGCAGTGATTACCTTCTTTTGGTCAGCAATTGTCTGAGGATTTTTTGTGACACATTGTCTTTCAAATAGCCCTACTACAAGATAATCCAGTGAAAATGGTTATAAGGTTATAATGGCAGACATCTAGTCACGTGACTGGTCAAACCACGGTCCATAGAACGAATGGCTCCGCCCACTTCGTGGGGGACCTTAGTAAAAAGAAACCAGGTAGATTCAAGTCTAGACTTTAGGGAGATGAAGGGTTATCTGACCTGGTTTATTATCCTGTTGCCAAAGTGTTGATTGAGTTGATCAAGTGAGACATCGTAAGTAAAGGGATTAGTGCTTCAAACTTAAACCATTATAATGCAGAATTAAAATATAGTACAACCAAATGCTTCCCAAAACTTCCTTAGGATGATATTGTAACTTAGTAACGCCACTGAGTTATAAGCCATAGGTCCATACATCCAAAATGTGAATCAACCTGATTTCTTTTGTGGGGCTGAAAGACAATGTATAGCAAAACGATCTTCAGACAATTGCTGACCTAACGAAGGCAAGCAAAGCTAAATGTAATGTCATTACAAAGTCTGAATATGTAAGGCTGTTTGCCATATAATTTGCATTGCCCTCCTGGCTATTAAAACTTCTTTATAGTTTTTATACTTATTTATTCCTATTATCGATTCCTATAAAGGGATGTTATCAAAAAATGTTCATACATCTCATTTCGTGTTCACTCATAAAAATCATGCTAAACATTGTCAATTACATCACAATTGTCAAGAAATGAACTTTATGAATCTTTAATTCTTTTGATACAATTTGAAAAACCAATGTATTGCATCAGTGTCAAAGGATTCCTACCAATAATCCCAGATATTAATATTTATCATATGCCATTACTCTGTCATTAGTTACATTGTCACTTACAAAATGTATAACTTTTGCTATCAAATTTGTAAAAAACATCTAAAACCACCATCTTTGTTATCTTGCACTATGAAATCCCCTTTAACATGTTCTGGTAAAGATTTTAAATCTCCTCCTTATAATAACCTTTTTGACTATTAACTTAAAAACATGGTGATCATTCTTCTTAATATGTATCATTGAAAATAAACTTTGTATTATTAAGTACATGTATTGTCAATAGACTAATGATTTAATCCACGTGATTTTGCCTAACGAGGTTGAATAACGCATTGAACACATTTTTAGGATTTTTTGACATTTGGCAAATCTTGGTTCAATATTATCAGCTAGATTCATGACATTTTCTGTCCGTAAAATCTTGAATGTGCTGTTTGGATAAATGTTGCATTTTACATTTATAAATTGTATCCTACCTTTAATTCTATTCTCCTGACCAAAACGTTTCATTTTTTTGTTCTATTTATTATAGAACTGTACTAGTATGTGCAAAATTTCATTGGTGTCACTTGTCCAGTTTAAGAGATATTTCATACTTCAATGGTCTTCTTTTTCCGGCCACTCAGTAATTTAGATATTGCAATACAATTTTACAATGAAGTATAGTGGTATGTAATAAGCAGAACTGTTGGGATTTGGGGATTCGACAAATTGGAAAAAGAATCGATTGAAAAGTATGCAATATATTGTATATAATCATCGATAAAAGACAATATAACCTTTTAATTCTAGAAAATTATAATACAACATTACCTTAGGACTGAATATACGGGATATCTATAGGAATAAGTCATATAGCTGTCGTCTTCTTCTGATGATGACCTCTTGCTTTTGTCATTATAATATGACTTGTCTGAAGGAATACATATACAATGAACAAACATGAATATAGAAATACTTTGCCACGGAGCCCTTCAAAAAGTTCCTGTCGGCCATTTTGAAGCCAAATGCTAAAATCCTTGTCTGCAAAAATGCTTCACAATTATTTAAAACCACATTTAGATTTTGAATGTATCAGCTCAGTCATGGCGGCCATTTTGAATATCCTAAGAAATGCGAAGGAGAGATGATACTTTGTATCATATGAATAAGGTGTCTCTGAGGTAAACTTTTTAGGAGCTTTATAAATGTATTGAAAAAGCCAATGTCATTATTAAGAGAAGGGTTATGCAATAATTTTGCAAAAATCGTCAAAAATTTATCTGCTTCTTTATCGTCAATCATTTTGTATTTTAAAATTTTCAGGTATGGTTCTTCGTATGCAAATCTTTAAACTAAGTAACTTTTGGTCATTCTTGATAAATGTTTACGTATACATTTGGTCAGAAATGGATTACAAATTTTAAGATAAAACTAGGTTCATACCTTTATAGACTCCCCATTTCTTTTTATTTTCTTCCTCTATTTTCTTTCTGTAATATTTATTCATTTTATTTTCATATTCTAGTTCTTTTTGTAGTTCCTTATCCATTTTGTCTTTATCTTTTTCATAGTTTTCCAAAGTTTCTTCATCAGCGTTGACTCCGTTGGGATCAACTAATGTATCTAACATGGACTGAAACGCATCATCAGTAGGTTCCAGAAGTCCAAGTTCGGCGTCTCCGTCCTTGATGAATATATCAGTTGTAGATTGCATATGTACTTTCACTGCAAATAGTTTAGTATTATTAATTTCTTTAATTTCAGGTCGAACTATTTTTTCTATCTCGTGGACCCACCGCGAACCGTGTGTTTAATATTCTTACTGATGACGTTGTGAAATCTTGCAGTTGGAAATTAAAGAGCTGTGTCAAAATACCTGTAGTTATACAGAATACGATTTTAAATGCAACATTTATTGACGATACGGCAACCACATCGAGATGAACAAGCTTCTATTTTAATATCATCTCAAGTGGACACAAATCTATAAACTTCTGAATGATTTGTGTCGAATTCAGGGAATTAGGAGAGACGGTATATTTAGTTCGAGTATCATAGAAAACTGAGATTAAACGTTATAAAAGTCTAAAATAATGTATAACCTTGTCCTTTTTTCGAAAATGAAATGTAAAAAACAAAAGAACGAATCCTATGAAGAGGGTATCCTAGAACATTACTTCTCATAAAAGATATACATCTTCACTTACTCTGCTCTTCAGATGTGCCCTTTTTGATCCATACAATGTAAGTTCCAGATATGGGCTCTCTTCTCATTGACCGGCTTTCATCTGAAAAATCATTGAAAAGGAGTGGTATCGATTTGGAGAACTTTTTGAACACACGTTTCTCTTAAACCAGTCATAAAAAATCTAAAAATTTAACACATCGTCAATTTAATGGTCATCTTTTGAATTGTTACAATATAATTTGAAATATGTGTATATACTTTTAAAAAAGTATCTTGTTATTGAAATATTTTGGGTGGATTTTGTTTTAATTTTTTTAATAGTTTTTTAAAATCTACCAAAAATTCCTTTGTATAACTATAATATTGATAGGTCTAAAAACATGTTGTATATGCTATTTTGTTCTCACAAGGTTCAGAAAGACATTTTATTTCATTCTCAAGAATTGGTAGAAAGGAGCAAAAACAACTGCACTAAAAAACAAAAAATGTGCTCAAAGAATTTCTGCTTGACAGATCGTCTATACATTTAGCAGTACTATTGTTGATACCCCAAAGTTTCCGAGCAAAGATTTTCTTAAAATCTTGTTCATCTATTGCTGAGAAGATACTTGTCAAAAAGCGGCTCACATTTTGGGATACCCGATATATATATTATTATATAACTTTTGAAAACAGGAATCAAACAGGAAAAGAGTATTTATCCATGAGGTACACATACATTAAACGCAGGTGAGGATATAAGATGAGTATACAATAGTATGTATTGCGTTCTTTGTTCATCACCCGCTTGAATATGTATCTGTACAATACATTACATCAATATGCGTATTTTATCAATGTCAATGCACTCAATCAGAGTTCGACGACATTTTACTTATACAATAAAACGTATACGGATATGATTTGAACTTATTTACAGGCATAAAAAGTTTCAAAAATTTACAATGATATACATGTCATATATAATTATATATACACTCCCCTCCATAAGTTTGGCAACCTTTTTTCCCCCATTGAACTACGTGTTAAAGCCTCTTTACCTTTGAATTTTTATTTACTTAACCTGCGATGAAAATACTTATACTATTGATGGAAACGTAATTTGACTTTAATTCCAATACCTCCAAATTTTCTCAATTTTTTCCTCAACTACAGTAGGTCGAAAATTGATGATGAATTTGATGAATTTTTGAAAATCGACATTCCCATGTTAACCGATGGGAAATGGTACGTTTGCCGCAAGTCATATGACAGAATATCCATCCATCTGAGTCCTTGCAAAAAATACGAGTTAGCCAGGTAATTGAATTTGCTAACTTTATTTAACGAAAAATTGATATGTTTCTTCAGGTTCAACAAAGTTATAGGGCTTTAAAGTCAAAATTGTTTTTCAAAAAACCTCTCCCATTGAAATAACACAGGAGGCGAAAAATTATTTTCAAAAATGACTTTGAAGCGCTGTAACTTTAATATTCATCAAATAAACTAAACACTTAGTGTTCAAAAAAGTTAGACAATTCAATTTTCTATATAAATTTTTTTTTGCTGAATCTTTTACTGAAAAGATATCCTGATTTCTGATTTGCCCCGAACCCTCCATTTCCCATTGGATTACATGGGAATGACGATTTTCAAAAATTCATCAAATTTATCATCAATTTTCGACCTATTGTAATTGAGGAAAAAAATTGAGAAAATTTGGAGGTATTGGAAATAAAGTCAAATTACGTTTCCATTAATATTGTAAGTTATTTCATCGCCGGTTAAGTAAATAAAAATTCAAACGTAAAGAGGCTTTAACACGTAGTTCAATGGAGAAAAAAGGTTGCCAAACTTATGGAGGGGAGTGTATATGCACGGGGAAAAATTTTATCGTTGTATTTCAAGAAAATATTGTCTTAAAATGATAGAAGATGCAAACCATATTGGAGATTTTCGAACTTGCATGAAATATGCCTTAATTTGGGGACATATTGTATTCCCATCATCATCAAATGAAATATTATTTCTAACCAAACAATGATAAACTTCATCGATCGATCAATCAATCCATCAAGCAAGCACCCAATCAATCAATCAATCAATCAATCAATCAACCGATCAATCAGTCAAGTAATCAACCAAATAGATATGTAATTTAGATAAGGGATACTATCTTTTATGGATTTCAAGTTATAGTGTCTGAGAAGATATGTAAATCATATAATAGGTTTGTCCAAAAACTTATTCAACATTAAAAATACGAGATTGAGTGCCATAACTGTAGAACAGCTATGTAACAAGTTTGAAATTAAAGGGAATATCTGTAAAGGATTACGTTACCTATGAATCCTATAAAGGTACCGAAAAGGACCCATATTTTCCAACAATCCATTGTGTATTCTAAACACAATCCTTCCTCCTTTTACCAAATTCCGCGGTCGTCTCAGTTTTTGCTCCAGTAGTAAATTCTGTAATTAAGGCGATTTTCCGTAATCCCTAAATTCAAGATGTAAAAGAATAATCGCAATTCACAGCATCATTTTTGACGTTGAATTGACCGGACACGTGTGAAAACTGTGTTGTCTGAGAAAATACAGTCATATGTCAATTCCCAATAAGATATGATGTACATTTACTGAGATAATATGTAGCTTTTATAAGGATGTATGTGTTTAACGATTAATACTCATTTATTGCTTTTAAAAATATTTGGGTAATATACCGACCCTTGCATGACGTCTATCCTGGATAGTCTCATTAGTAATCACTCATTAATTAAAAGGGAAATATCTTCAATTAAATTGCATAATTTCTATTGATCAATCTTACTTAATAAAAGTTGCAATATATTATACTTAGTTAACACGTGGAATATCCGGTTTGTTACATCGAGTTAAAACTTATAAGGGATACATGTAAAGGTTGTGAAAAAAAACTTTATTTCCCACGTCAAAAAACACCCTTCGTAAGATTTATGAAACATAAACATATAAAACATTGATAAATGTCAAACATTTTGTTACATCAACATAGGAATGACTTCTGGTCTGTAAATGGTCGAGATATTTCGCCCACGTAATTTTTCCAAAGCACGCACGGTTGTTAATGTAAACAACTGAATCAGGATATTGGACGGCGGTGTGTCAATTCGTCTTATGTCGTTGAGTATAGCACCTAGACTTAAATTGATGATGTGTCTCTTTTATATTCATTGCATCTTTTTGTTTCACTTACAAATGCCCTCGCATTATGAGACACATTCTTTGATATGCCAATTTGATGTGGAAAGTTACAACTGTCAAGTAGTGTAATGGTCATAATAGAGCGATTCCGCAAACGCACTTACAGCGTGTTTATAAAGCTACATGTATGTTTTTATAACGTATAAAGTCGCACATCCCCATCCATTAAAACGTTGTTTATGATTATAAATGCGTAAATACTTATATTGTTTAGACATAATTATTGATAGGGGTATCAAAGTGATATCTGGCATGAAGTCATAAAACTATCTAATCCACCCGATCCTTGTTCATCAAACACGTTGTTCATTATTTCACCTTCCAAATGACGGGGTAATTTACGCAAATTGATAAGTTTATCCGGAAGCCGGCAGTCTTCAGATACATTCGCAAATACAAGATCAGACGCGCTAAAGAAATGATAGTTTTACGTACAAGACAACTAAACATCTTATTTGAGGAGTGTCCAGGATATTGTAAGTTAACATGGTTATGTACAGTAAACTGCCCATTTCGGAACCCGATATCAGTGAATATGAAATTCCTAAAAAATTCAAATTATTTTTATGATCCTTGGTTTCTTTGTGTTCGCTGTTTGCATTACATTATTGAACGTGATTTTAGATCATTCGTTTGCCATAAGACACATTGAAATGCAGGTAATGTTACATAACAGCTTTTTGCACATGCTATATATAAAGCACCATTATAGAATTATTAATTCAAATATGTTTGATATCTAACGAAGTGGTGGTGAAAAGTCGCCCCAGTTGATAAAAGTAATCCTTGAAAATTCTGCACATTTACATTGGGCTCCATGTTAATTCATCAATCTTCATAAGACCCCTGCAGATAGAGTAATAAAGCCCATATTCCTAGTACGGTATATGCATATTCCGCAGGTGAGTATGACATATTACGCAGGTAAATATCGGGTATTCACTCAAACAAATCGAGCTTATCTGCATGATTGTACTTTTGCCATTAAGGCCATTAAGAAACAGCTGCCATGTCAACCCCATATCTCACCAAAGCCACGAAATATGTAGTTATAGTATACAGCTGATTTATGTCATTTAAGAAGGTATCTTAAATACTGCAGTTATCGTTTACTTGCGTTATAAAGGTATTTTTTCAAAAAGTCTCGTGATATCTCGTCTCAATACAAGGTAAGGTCTTCCTGGGTAAAAGTACTTGCATCACACCTTGTTTTCAATACATCATTACGATAAGAAAAATAGGACATCACTTTAATCAACAACATAAAGGACGACGAGCTAGCTATTTGTATTGAAAAACTAGAATTACATCCCACTAATTTGTAGGAATGACATTTACGTGGACTAAACAATTTGATTTTAACTTCCTGGTTTAGGTTTTCTCCAATCAGCTCATCGAGAGAGATGCAATATTTGAAAACATTAGCAGTACATCCAATGTTAGAAAATGAGTATTTGCAAGTCAAAACAAAATAATTACGCAGCCATGAAGTTGCATGTCTGACCTACCTATGTTTGTTGAAGTTTGACTTACCTTATTTCGGAATTTCATGGACAGTTTTTTAGTGCAAAAGCGATGTTTTTGATTGGTTGGTTGTGCCAAAGATTCCTTAATCTTTTCGGGTGATTCTGGACACTGTTATCCAAATTATTCCACTGAGGTTTGAAGACGTTTCATTCGGTTGTTTCAGATTTTATAACTACCATGATTGAAGTATTTTTGTGTTTTTTTTATCAAGCAAAACTCTGTTTTGATCATTCCAGAATTTTTATTCTAAATATATTTTACCGATTTATACCGATGTTTGACAAAGTTAATTGGCCTTGGGTTTCAAAAATGGTCATTCTATTTTTGTGAACAAAATTGTAAATATGAAAACTGTAAAATATATTATCATTTCACTCGTTCATTTATTCATCTTATATTTTAGTTTTTACCACAATGTAAGGATTGAGTACCATAGACAGAGATGGCTTCTCGCTCTTATAAATCACCGAGTCCTCTATTTTCCAGAAATCCATTTTATAGTGTGAACGAATAGGTCTTTGTCCAGGGTCTACTCCTTTTGGTTGAGGCATGATGACATTTCAATATTATTCTTCATTATGGTAATTACATCTTGGATTGTACGATTTGTTGAAATGTCAATGTTGAACAATAAAATCTCTTACATTCTCATTAAGACAATACTTCAACAATATTTCTAATCTCTATTCCAATTAGTATATATCAGATCATGTGACTTGACTTTTGACTTAGGCTGCGATTTTGAACAGCCCGCGGTGCAAGTCAATTGCATAATATTTTATAAGTTTACCCAGAGGTATTGCGAAAAGGGACAATAAGGCCCTGCGGTGCCAATTACACACTCACGCGTTTTCAACAAAAACAGCTTTCCGAGCGCATTTACGTACACTGCTGAGTATGTGCAAAACGTGTCGGCTAACCACGTGTGTCAACCGCGTCGGCTAGTTGCTAGTGCACCACAGGGGTTCCATTGCAATAAACTGTCTTTCGAAAGAATTGTATGGGTGTGGGTGCGCTTGGATAACCTGTTTTGTAGAAACATGTGACCATGTTGTTTGCTCCGCTGGGCTTATTGTTCGTGATTCGTAGTGAGAAAACTTATTAAATATTATGTAAACGACTTGCGCCGCGGGCATTCAAAACTGCAGCCTTATATGAGTAATGCCTTATATGAGTGATGTGGCTTTAATTGGCGAAGGTAATGAGAGTATTCAAAACCAAGTTGCTATATATCGTTCATCTATTGGTTATTTCTACTTTTATATTATTTTTAACACCGTTTTTCATCAAACTAGCCACTCAATTATATATTAAACTGATTTATGTTAACATGTGAAGACTTGTGAAAACAAAGCGGCGAGTCAAAGTTACTGCTAATGCCAAAAACTATTTGTCTATATAAAGGACGTGATACCAGAACTACCATATCATATTATTTTATGTTAAACTTAAGATGCATGCTCTGCTTTTTTCGTCCCCACCACATAGTGTGGGGCCACATTGTCGGCCTAGGCGCGTCCGTCCGTCTGTTTGTCTCTCTGTCTGTCCGTCCGTACGTCCGGCAGTTTTCTCCAAAAACGCTACAGATATCACCTTCAAATTTTCAGGGATAACTTATGAGTGCATACAGATGTGGATGAAATTTTTTAACTCGATACCTACTTCCTGTCGGCCATTTTGAAGTAAAATGCTAAAATCCTTGTCCGATTAAGGAAAACGGCTTCACAGTTGCTTTTCAAACTTTAACATCTTGTTCAGCTCACTTCATTCTACATCTGATTAGGTTTTGGACCTATTAGCTCAGTCATGGCAGCCATTTTTAATGTCTTAAGAAAAGTTAACGTGCGATAATACTTTGTATCATATTGAATGGTGTTTTTGAGTTTTCATACTTTAACTATTTTGTAGCTTGATAAATACTTCCAGGTGTACTTTGTTGTAAAAGCCTATGTTATTGTTAATGGTAGTTATATGTGATAATTTTGTAAAAAGAAATCGGCAAAAACTCATTATCACTTTTTTATTGTCGGCCATTTTGCATTTTTTCGTCCTAAAATCTTGTTTGTAAAGTCTTGTCTACACGTTTTCAGGGGAACCGTTTGGTAGATCAATTTTAAATTTTCTGGGATGATTCTTAGTACAAAAATCTAGATCTGATTAGTTTTTTGGCATTCTGGGTAAATGTCAAGGCGGCCATTTTGGATTTTTCGTCCTAAAATCTTGTCAGTAAAGTATTGTCTACACGTTTTCAGGTGAACCGTTTGGTAGATCAATTTCAAATTTTCAGGGATCATTTTTAGTATGAAAATCTAGATCTGATTAGTTTTTTGACATTCTGGGTAAATGTCAAGGCAGCCTACGGTGAACCGTTTGGTAGATCAATTTCAAATTTTCAGGGATGATTCTTAGTACTAAAATTTAGATCTGATTAGTTTTTTGGCATCTTGGGTAAATGCCAAGGCAGCCATTTTGGATTTTCCGTTCTAAAATCTTGTCAGTAAAGTCTTGTCTACGCGTTTCCAGATGAACCGTTTGGTAGATCAATTTCAAATTTTCAGGGATGATTCTTATCTAGAACTGATTAGTTTTTTGACATTTTGGGTAAAGGAGCACGTAGGTTATCGCAAACAATTTTAAACGATTCTAACTTGAATTATGAATATTTTCTGATCATGAACATGGGTGTATCTTTTAGATCCATTCATTATCTTCAAGAAAAGTATATATAATGATAATTTAGTTAATCAGACCTAAGTGATATTGAAGGGGCAATGGACCAATCAACATACTTTTTCAAAAATGTTGACCTAATTTTCACCAAAAATGCAACCTATTATTATATTGTTGAATGCATAATTAGAATGTGCTTTGAGACATGTTCGATATTCTAAAAGGAAAATTTGATTGCTCCAGGGACTTTAAAGATATTCAATTTGGATGACCAAAATGAACTGAAACCAATGGATAGCATGAGATTTTTCAATGGAGAAATAACATGGGGAACTCTTATCTTAATGCAATTAAGTTTTTCTTTCAAGAACTATTTGATACATCAAAATAAAGAATAGTAATGCATTAAACATTGTAAAAAATGATTGCATTTTTGGTGAAAATTGGGTCAACATCTTCAAAATGGGGTAAAAAAGTGTGTTGATGGGTTAATTGCTAGTTAAATATCTCTGAGTTTGTTTGAATTTATTATTACTGTGCATAATTTTCATTGAGATAATGAATTAATCTAAAAGATAAACTTGTCTTCATTGTCAGAAAATAGTCTTAATCCAAGATATAACCTTCTGTAATTGTTTGCGATAACCCACGTGCTCCTTTCAAGGCAGCCATTTTGGATTTTCCATCCTTAAATCTTGTCTGTAAAGTCTTGTTTACCCGTTTTCTGGTTAACTGTCTGACGGATCAATTTCAAAATTTCTGGGGTGGTTCATAGTATGAAAATCTAGAACTGACTTATTTTATGGCATTCTGGTTCAAATTTAAGGTGGCCATTTGGATTTCCCGTCCTCAAATTGTGTCGGTAAAGTCTTGTCTACTCATTTTCAGGATAACCATTTGACAGGATCACCCATTGTTGGGGACATTTTGTACACATTTGTGTTCTTGTTTACCTTCTTGCAATCTTTACTTTGGGGAATTCTTCTATAAAAATACTAGATACACAAAAGAAATGATATGTTTATGTGTAACAACACTGGCTATTTTATTTGAGGAGTATCAATAATATTATAGAATGATTATATAAACTGCCAATTCTTCAATACCCGACACCAGTTATATGAAAACCCTAAAACTACTTCAAATCGTCCAAGTTTCAAGTCAATTCCATCGCTATGTTGACTATTTTGTTAGACTTTGCTAGGATGAAAAAACTCATCCTATGTTTATGCACCTGGGATGGTTGTCTGTATGGCGGCGACGGTGCAAGGGGCATTGTACGATCCACAAACATATGTCCCACGTGCAGCTGATTTAAGACATATAAAGCAGAATTTCTCCCCACATGGGCAGACCATATGCTTGCAATCACGCTCGTGCTCGATCAACATACCGCATTGAGGACATGCACGTCTGGACGGGCAGTCCTTCACACCGACAACTGCTTTCTTTGGCGAATCACGAAGGATCTTTAAGCGAGGGTCTTCATTGCTACAAGAAGAGTTTCCGCATTTGGTGGTGCTGCTTGAATTCAACCAATCGTGTAGACAATACCAGCAGAATTCGTATAACTTCTCCTTCTTCTTGCTACACAATGGACAAACTACCCTCCGGTCTTTCTTGTCGTTTCTCTCGCAGAGTGACATACAGCCAGGACATTCTTGAATACCACACGCCTTTCGGAGATAGTTTTCGGTGATTCTTTTCTCGAATTTCTCCTTTTCTTCCCTGGTCAATACGGCGAGTTTACGAACGGTCGAGAAATCCCATTCCTTTCCACAATATACACCGTTCTCTGGTCCGATATATGGACACAGAAAACGGAATTTACCACTCGTTAGCAAACTTTCACAATAGGCCGTTAGAGATTCAGGTCCTAAAAATAAGGTTAGTATTATTTTAGAAACGTATTTTGAAATTGAGAAATAATTCTCCAAAAACTGTAAAACGTCCCGCTGTGGGTGAACATCCTTTTAGAATTCCATATGCCGATTTAAATTCGCTTCGCCCGTCTATTACATTTGTTATGTCATTGTCTTTGTTTGATAAATCTTTGGAGTTATAAGAACACCAAAGACAATAAAACTAATTAGCGATTAACTTGAATCGTTAAAATAACATGGGAAACAATAAAAGGAACATTATTTGTAATGTTTATTTCTGAAATCCTTACCTATTGCATGTCCACACGGCATTTTTGCTCTACTCCCATCCGGGTCATCATCCCACGTGATCATATCAGGTGCATCGGTTAGCTCTACGTCATCAGGGAGTTGCTTTGGAGGGGGATCTAAAATAAAATTGCAATTACAATTTTTTAGATCTGCTGTATTTGTTCATAAAATAACACCGAAGACAGTCATTCACTCTATTATACCTTGCATTTGGTGTTCATGAGCAACCCATTAATTAGTAATGATTATGTATTTGTTTTTATTTGTCTGTTCCTTATTAATGGTTTATCGGTTGAATGTTAAATGTTACTAAGGCACTTTCAAAAAATATACTAAACAATACAATACAATACAATAAGATAAACAAAGTATCTTATGCATTTCTAGGTGTTAGGTATAGTAGGGTGCCATTAACATTACATGAATACACATCTTTAACTGAACTTTAGATTAATTCGTTTTTCCAGTTTGCATGTAACACCGTGAACTATACTTGTACAATGTGAAAATAGAATTTATTTACTGCTAGCCCATAATACATAATGCGACATGCGGCATCTTTCATGTCTTGTATATTATGACTGTATAATGTATTCATATTTAGTTGAAATAAATGTAATGAAATTAATGAAAAGTAATTTTGTGCTATAATGTTAAGGCGTTTTAAAGTAAATTAATCATTAACCCGATACCTTCTTATTGAAAATCACACTTGATTATAGTATTTTTCAAAATAGTAAAATCTAAAAATGGACCCACATTGTAAACTTACCTTCGTCCGATCCTCCATGAAGGCGTAAAACAACAAACAAGTTGCTCTCATTGTGGATGTTGTAGTCTGCCAGAGTTTTATTTTGACCATACTCCAACTGTTTAGCTATATAAACATTATCACAATTTATTATTTTGATTGAGTGTATTCAAACAATGGCTTATTCAAAGCATAAAAATATAATGTGTATTTTAAATTTCAATCCACCGAAATGGGCTCACAAATCACCATTTTGATTTTTTTCTATTCTATTGATAATAAATCTATTCGGCAAAAATCATTTGCTTATGTATTGCACTCTGGACTCGGATATGATATGAATTCAATGATCAATAGACGAGCATGGACAAAATGGCCTTCATTTGTCCGGCAATGTCTCCCTCGAAAAGAATCATAGTGTATATTCTTTTCGTGGGACATAAAAGGACAAAATCGGACAATGTCCTGGGGACAAGATGGGACAAAAAGGGACAACGAGGGACAATGTCCCCTGAAGTCCCAAGGATGTCCCGTGTGAATATCCGAACTTGTCCCATGAAAATATTTTACACCATAACTCACTTGATGTCCCAACATATGCCATTGGTGTACGGCTAGCTGTATGTGGTTCACCCTGTAATGACAATATTCCAAATAATATACATGAATAACATTGAGTACGTACTTGTATATAGAACTCTCTGTGTTTCAACGGGTATTCCATTCTTTTTACTGATCATCTCTAACAATTCATCGACTGTAGCAGTCTGAAAAACATGAAACACGAAGTGGTTAATTATATAATATGAAGCTGTATATACAAGTACAACCGATCTATAACTTGCAACGTTATGATGTACAAGTCTCGATAGGTGTTTGGCTACAAGATATAGTGTCACTATGCCTCCTTGACTCCTTGAAAAGGTGTACATAAGTATGAATAAGCAAGGGCGTAGCCATAGAGCCAGCTTTCAGGCGCATTTTATAAGCGACACTGGGGACATCACCTGAACATATAGTATTCCTTAAACTAACATTTGGCCACATGCTTTTGCCAATTATAAAGAAATCTCATGATCAGACATCAATGTTTTAAATTTATCATTGTCAGGAAATTCGTGAAAACATGGAATTTTATTTGCAACCGTTCAAAACAATTCATTTCTTAGATCGGGGTAAAATTGACATAAAAATGGTGTTCATCCTGTATGGCATTGATATCACAAAGAGAACAAAGTATTTCAGTTACTGGCACACTACGTTCGTAACGTCCAGTTTCAATTCGCAGGGGAGCTACACCACACCTCACAGAGCCTATAGCTAGCGCTTTCCGATCCTGCATGGCAAGATGAGATGTGCGATAAGGATATCAGTGAATTCCTGCTTGAACGGTCTGTATGTTCTTAATTTGTTCCATTGGCCTTCCGTGACGTCTACCATCATTCCAGTTAGTGTCATGCCAGTTTGGGAAGACATTTCCCTATAGTTCTACATATATTAATTCCAGGAGAGTCAATGGAAAGCGATAGATCATTTGTCAAAATGTGGTGAATGTTGTAGTACCAATTCTTAATCCTAGACGAGCCTTGATATCGATTCCAGGTGTAAATACGCAGTGACAAGTTACCAGGCTCAAGGGCTTCACATCGATCTTTGTATCTAGTTGCTTCAAGTATATATCTGCCGCTCGTATGGGGAACACAAAAACTGATGCGACTTCCTCTGTGCTTTATTCCAAACACTGGTTGTTCTTTTCCAGCACTAGTTTTCAATAAAGATGGACATTTAGGGGGGGGGGCGTGCATTAGTAATTCATACCCATGCATAATATTCAAAACTACGGACAAAAGTATGTCCTATAGATCATGATAAACCATGACATATCACTTCTTCTCAGTCCTGAGATGTTTTAGGTGAAACAGAAAGATGTAATGAGTATCATAATGGGTCCTATACACGTAACCCTTACATTATTCCATCACATGGGTAGCGCATAGACAAATGCCAACTTTAGTATTGACTCAGTGATTTTAAGATTCACTTACCGCGCTTATATTTATGACTGTAGTCTCGCCCCGAAGGCCTTTAAGGAACAGCTGCCACGTTAACCCCATTATTCTCTCAAGGAAACCAGCTTCCAAGTATGCAGTTCTGTATCTATAATATATAATTTATTCTTTGATTTTGATGTATCGGTATATGTTACACCTTTGTATGGCGTGGTAATTGCCCCACAAAAAGGTTATCACATAAAACCCGAGACTGAATCACCGTCGATTTCGCAAACTAAGGTCTTCCTAGGTAATAAAATCATAGGATCATGTCTTGTTTTCCCTACTTGTTTCTAGCATGACAAGAGAAATCCAGGACTTAAAACACAAACATAGAAGGATGAGTATAAATTTGTATTCAAAAACAAAAAAACATTTACCATTAACGTCAATAAAAAGAGGTTAAACTAAACATTACCATAACTAGGATGACATTTTCCAAAGGGGTAAAAACAAGTAGATTTTAACTTCCTGGTTATGTTTAGTATACAATCAACTCGTCCCAAGGGGTACTGACTCCCCTGTAAAAATATTTTTATACCAATTACAGCAGTTAATCTCATATTTCCCACAAAGATGTATGCTATGAACTGTTATGTATAGATTTAATGATTATTAATGATAAAGTAACGAGAATGCACATTCTTAATTTTGTCCACCTACTGTTTACACCGACTCACCTCCCTAAATCCCCAGAATGAACTGGGCTGGCTGAATCAAGGTGATTCCCCAGCAATATTAATTTGGTTTCGATTCGATAACTTGCTGATCGATGATACAATCTAGTATTGCGCAGTATTGTAGAAAATGAGTGTATTAAAGACACAGCTTGTCATGTAATTGTCTGATTGTATTGTTGGGCTGGCAAGCCATACTTATTTTGTATTACGTCATGATCGGGGCTTACGCCATATTGAAATAAACTGGACAAAGTCAGCCAATATATCTCTTAGTGTTATTCTAAATATAACGTAACAGAACATGGTGTCAAACGTTGGATGCGAGCCTACGGGGATATAAAACCACAGAGAAAAAGTAGGACATGTAAAACTTGTCTGAAAGTGACCAGATTAGAGGTATTTTTGGTGTTTAACTTTGATTGCCGGTGAAATTTTGTGCAAATTTCGAGCATGACATTTTTGCGCACGACACGGATTACATCATTGCTTCGTGCACACGACACGGATTACGCCATTGCTTCGCGGAGATATGCAAATGCCATGGATTGCGTCATTGCTGCTGTACTACAGTAAGAATTTGAGTCCAACTGATATTTAAACTTGTGAACTGTACTTCTACTCTTGTGTATTAACTATCGTGATTATATTGTCATCTTTGGATTATTATAATGGCCAAGATACAGCCTCCAAACCCTTTTAACTTTGATAAACCCAATGAGTGGATTGCTTGGAGAGAAAGGTTCCTGAGGTTTAGGCTAGCTACAAAACTTAACAAAGAGGATGATATTACACAAGTCAGTCAACTTATATATATTATGGGCCAATCCGCAGAGGACATATACAAACAGTTTACGTTTGAGCCCTTACCAGTTGCTGAAAATGACCCAGTACCTGATCCGCCAGACAACAGGTACAATTTTGATGCCGTTTTGGGCAAATTTGATAACTATTTTGTGCCAAAGATAAACATTATTCATGAACGAAGGGTCTTCAACCTTAGACAACTGGGAGAGTCAGAAACAATGGAGGAATATATCCGAGATTTGTATAAACTGAGTCAACATTGTTCATTCGTTGACAGAAACGAAATGATTCGCGATAAGATCATCGTTTCCATCAAAGACAGAGACTTGTCAGAGCGAGTCCAGACACTTGCCATGACGTGTGATCTCACCCTAGAGAAAACTATTGAACTAGTTCGTAGTCATGAACTTATAATATCACAGTCTCAAGCTGAAGGGAGACCTACTGATACAAGTAACGTTGATTTTGTTCGTAAGCGACCCCCGCAACAGAGAGCTACACGACAAAACAACAGAAAACAAGACCAGGCACAACACAAAGCAGACAAACACAAGTGTGACAGATGTGGCTACATTCACAGAAATGATAAATGCCCTGCTAAAGGGAAAACCTGTCATAATTGCAAGAAATTAAATCATTTCTCAAGTGTGTGTAAATCAAATAAGAAATCTGTTGATAAAAGAGTTGTACATGAATGTTATGATGAATGTGCTGAAGCCGATCTTGACACTACTGAGTTTCATGTAGGTGAGCTTGTGCATTTGGTTGATTCTGCCAAGTCACTGATTGTAGATAGGCACACAGAGCCACCATGGCGTGTGACCTTACCCATTTGTGGTAAATTGATGAGTTTCAAGATCGACACAGGCGCTGATGTAAATGTTATGAGTAACAAAGCATATGAATGCCTTACACCAAAACCTAGGTTACAAAGGCATGATGGTCCTCCACTGAAGTCAGTAGGTGGGGTAATAGATACAAGAGGTTATTTTATAACAAATAGCAATCTTGATGGTACCAAATTCTCAATGAGAATATTTGTATTAAATGGGCCAAAGTGTGATAACTTATTATGTCGCAGATCTGCTAAAATGTTGAATCTAGTTACTAAAAATGTACATGTTGTAACTCAGACCTCTCAGAGCGAGGCAGGTAAAATTGGTTCTGATCCTGGTAACCATAGAAATAAAACTACAATGCCCCCTAGTAACAATACTTCTGAAATGCCAGGTCATGTAAAAGACCCCATAAATGATAATGAATTGTATGGGGAAGTGGGTACAATGAAATGTGAGCCAGTCAAAATTGAGTTGAAGCAAGATGCTGAACCATATGCTGTTGTGGTACCTAGGCGCGTTCCATTTCCTATAATGAAACCATTACAAGAAAAACTCGAATCAATGGAATCCAATGGTGTTATTGCCAAGATAACTGAGCCTACTGAGTGGTGTTCACCCATGGTCCCGGTAGTTTCAAAATCAGGAAAAATTCGCGTGACGGTTGACTTTAGAAAACTTAATAAATCAGTTAAGCGCGAGAGATTTGTCCTACCAACCATTGACTGTATATTACAGAAACTTTCGGGAAGTTCTGTCTTTTCCACCCTCGACGCCACAGGAGGTTTTCATCAAGTGCCACTTAGCGAAGTAAGTCAGCGTTTTACAACGTTTATAACACCCTTCGGTCGTTACGTATACAAGAAGATGCCACAAGGCATATCGCTTGCTCCAGAAATCTTTCAAAGAGAAATGTCGCGCATTTTGCAAAATTGTCCTGGAGTAGCAGTATTCATGGATGATATTATCGTTCATGGTAAGAATGTAGAAGATCATGATAAAAATCTCAAACAAGTCTTACAGAAAATCAAACAGTCCGGTCTAGTTCTCAACAAGGCGAAGTGTCATTACCGGAAGCCTGAGCTCGTATTTTTAGGGCATAAAATTAGCGCTAATGGAGTCTCGCCAGACCCAGCCAAAGTCGCTGCGATAGTGGAAATGGAAATTCCTGAAAATGTTGAAGAATTACGACGATTCTTAGGCATGATAAATTGGATAGGTAGGTTTATACCAAACTTATCTACAATGCTTCACCCATTGAATGAACTTTTGAGAAAAGACACAATTTGGACTTGGGGAAAAGCACAAATGGATGCCTTTGAAACAGTGAAACAGAAGGTAAGTAGTAAGCCTGTTCTAAAATACTACGACATCAATAAGCCATCGCGTGTTAGTGCTGACAGTAGCTGTTACGGGTTAGGCGGTGTCTTAGAGCAACAGCATGGAACAGATTGGTTTCCTGTTCATTACTGTTCTCGTTCATTAACTGATGCCGAACGCCGCTATGCTCAAATTGAAAAGGAACTTTTGGCAGGGGTGTGGTCAATGGAAAAATTCAGTCAGTATTTGGTCGGACTAGAATCATTTGTATATGTGACTGATCACAAACCTCTGGTGCCAATTATAAATCAAAAGGATCTTGATCAAACACCGGTGCGATGCCAGAGAATGCTAATTCGTCTCATGAGGTTTAATTGTATCGCTGAATACAGACCCGGAAAGACATTAGTCATAGCAGACACATTGTCTAGAAAACCGCTTAGTAGCATGGAATCAAACACTGTAGAAAGTGTGACGGAATATGAGAGTTTCATATATGATAACCTACCAGTCGCGAAGTCGCGTCTTGAGAATATTCGTGACTTGTCACAGATTGATCCCGAAATCTCAACAGTCATGAATTATGTTCTTCATGGTTGGCCGGAATATTACAAAGACGTGAAAGAAGTTGCCAAGCGATACTATGATTGTAGAGAATCCTTGAGTGTTGTCAATGACATACTTATGTATGGTAACCGTATCACTATACCGGCTGCATGTCGCAATAATATTCTTGATCAAATTCACGAGGGTCACTTCGGAATTCACAAATGCCGTGAACGCGCCAATGCGACAGTATGGTGGCCAGGGCTTACATCACAAATCAAAGAATTGGTGGCCAAATGTAAGCACTGCCAAATTTTGAAACCTAAACAGAGAAGTGAACCATTAATTCCAACAAAATTACCAGATCGCCCCTGGCAGCAATTAGCAACTGATTTATGTGAATGCTTCAAGAAGCAATATTTAGTCACAGTTGATTACTATTCTCGCTATCTAGAAATTGCTCATGTTAGGGGTAGTGTCACAACAACTCAAATCATAAACAAACTCAAAAAGATATTTGCCAGGAATGGTATCCCTGAAGTGTTAGTATCAGATAATGGACCACAGTTTAGCTCAAAACAATTTGCAGATTTCGCAAAAGAGTTTGATTTTAAACATGTAACATCAAGTCCCAGATACAGTCAAAGTAACGGTCTCGCAGAAAGAGCCGTCCAAACTGCCAAACGTATTCTCAAATCAGAAGACCCCTTAAGCTCCCTTATGAATTATCGGGCCACTCCAGTCAGTTCTACAGGTAAAACGCCAAGTCAATTACTCTATGGTAGACAAATCAGAACTAAACTGCCAGTTTCGCCTGAGAATCTAAACCCAAATTGGCCTGATAAACAGGAAGTTCAAAACAATGATGCTAAAGCAAAATCACTGTATGCCAAACATTTTAACAGATCTCATGGTGCAAGAAAACTTGAGAAACTGTCCCCTGGACAGTCTGTGAGAGTGAAGCTTGATCAGGAAAAGGCATGGAGTAAACCATATAAGGTTCTCAATCAAGCTCACACTCCTAGGTCATACATTATCAAAAGTGACAGTGGAACTTTGTTCAGGAGAAATCGTAGACATTTGATGCCAACAGGCCATGATCCTACTCCTACTCCTGAACGGGGTTCTAAAATTCTTAAACCAATGGTGTTTTTCTCGAGTAAACATCCCAAGGAGGGAGGGATAGATGGTGGTGGTCAAAATACTAATAATGTTCCACTTACTAGTAATACTACACCAGTCTCTCATAGCTCTATTATCACCGAACCAAGTTCTAGTTCTCCATTAAGGAAATCAAAGAGGATTGTAAATCAGCCAAAATGGCTCAAAGACTATGTAACTTGAAATAATACTTTTCATGCATATAGACTGTCAAGATTCAAAAGACAGTAGTGTACATTCAGACATTAAATGACTAAAGCTCATAATAATGTACACATAGTTAACAGTTTGTTTAGATAATGATCTGTATAAAATGTTCAAACAACACAGATTGGTGTGGATTACGTTTTATAATGCATGTTTTATTTTAAACATTTGTATTGATTATATATAAGACAATCTTTTGTTAGAGATGTGTATAAGAAAAACAAAATCAGCATACAGTATTTTCTACTACCGTATTCAACATGATAAGTGCACAGGGTGAATACAGGTTTGAGACATGGACTCATAAGCAGTGAATATTGACTTTATACCCTGCTATATATATCTACAGATGAAGACTCTCAAAATTGTAGACACTTTTGAACATTTAAACATAGGCCTATAGACTGATAAAATTACTGTATCATTCAAAAAGAAAAAAAGGGAGATGTCATGTAATTGTCTGATTGTATTGTTGGGCTGGCAAGCCATAATTATTTGTATTACGTCATGATCGGGGCTTACGCCATATTGAAATAAACTGGACAAAGTCAGCCAATATATCTCTTAGTGTTATTCTAAATATAACGTAACAGAACACAGCTTGAGAAAAGGTAAGCCTTTGACGGTACTTGAGGTTCGAACATGATTGAGACAATCGTTGTGCAAGCTTTGAAATGGACTTGGTTGGTATTTCAGCCAGGCCAGAGTATTTGAAGATCTATGAATATTTATGAGGTTGTATGAGAAGTGAAGTTTCAATATCAATATCAATTAATATTATTGCACTGCACATGATCCTGTTTGAATGGGGACTCCCCTTTTATTATCTACTTAGTCTATATTATATGGTATTGCCAATTGGGTAACCGGAATTTTGGACAATATAGCTGAAGAGGCGAAGATCTAACCTCCTCTGAAGAAAATATGATCTAAACCTTACCCTTAAGTAATCAGATTGGTCCCTTGAATCATCTTCGGCCACCTTCGTGATATATACATCGTCGGTTGTGGTGCATCTGTGCTCTCTCGTCCTGCTTTGCCGAAGATAACCGAAGATATAACCCTAACTCTCCAAGGAATTTGATTGGTCCCTTGAAGCATCTTCGGCCATCTTCGTGATATGAACATCTTCGGTTGTGGTGCATCTATGCTCTCTCGTATCATCTCACTGAATTTTAGTGTTTCTTTTGGAAAAAATCATGTAGTAGGTCTATAGTTCAGTGCTATATGTAATGTTAACGTTAATACAAATTTCATTCGGCGAAAAAAATGTTTCAACAGAAGATCAGTATATCAAGATAGCCCTGTCGATTAGTGAAATGTGTTGGACAAGGCCTCATTTAGATATTTGATTAAAGGCACCTTATACTATAGGGCCCAATAAATTGAACGCTCTAGATTTGAATAATAAAACATATTGTGTGTATAAATTAATGAAGTTAGTTTATAAATCGATGGCGTCAAGGCGGCGGCCTGACGTCCGTCAATAGCAAAAGCAAGGTGTGGTTGTGCAAAATATTTATATTCATGTAAACGCTGTGATTGGACGGCGTCAACACGGTAGCATGGCGTCCTACAAAAGCAACATTAAGGTGTTGTTGAAGAACATATTTATTCAATTTTTTCTTGTGAACGTTGAAAATCGAATGCATCAACGTGGTAGCCTAGACGCCCGCCAAAAGCAATGATATGTTGTACATACCAAAAAATCTTCCTTTCCCTTTTTATGTCACCACCAAAAAGGTGTGACATATTGTTATAGTCTCCATTTTTTGTGACGGCGATCGGTTGGTGGCGATTGGTGGTTGGGGTCTGTAACAAATTCTTACAACTTCCAATAACCTAACAAATACTGTCTAGACTAAGTTCATTTTTTTTCAAAACCATCTACAAGTTTTCAGAAGTTCAAATCTGACAGGCTCAAATCAGATTGGTTGTTTATAAACATTTTTTACTTTTTTTTTTATCATATGTGTCAAATATTTCCATCGTTGTATGAAACTTAATATCTATAACATGTAAACACATCAATTCTTGTCGGATAGAATAGATATCAATAAATAGTGTCATTCTTTGTAAGTTTGGAATTCAAAACATGTTTTTCATTGTTTGTAGTACAAGGGGCGATCCATATATTCTGATAAAAATGCTCTCATTTTGTGATTTTTTCACATATCCTTTTCATTTTTTCAGAACATGTAGATTATGTAATTACACATACGATGCTAAACTATTTTAGCTGTATCTTAAATTAATTTTGAAATAAGGTTGCCATGGTAACCTATATTTAGGGTAGGCAGGTCAGCTAAATTATAACGTCTAAAATAGATAAATATGTTAATTTAATCATTCCTCGGTACCTATTTTAAGCAGATCGAAGGCATCTTCCAGTCATTGTCAACTATTCATTGATCTGTTCCATACCCTTGTTGCCCTTGTTTGATAATTTATACAGTGGGATAGCTATATTTTCATAAGTAACATCTCAATTTATCGTAGTGTTATTCTCTGTCCGCAAGCTCTTCTTGCAACCAGATTGCGGATGATCTTCAACAGTGACCATGCTTTCCTCTTTACAATACTACCTAAATATTCTTTATGCAGATATAACACATTGCCCATGCACTTTATGAGTCCATGTATGTCTCTGACAGTGTCCTCTTACTTATTCTTGAAAGAAAATCAAATTTAATGGTATTCCCTAATGTATCCGTTAATGTGACACTCTGCATCAGCCACATTAACCTAATCTGACAATTTGATTTTTGGTGTGTCTCATAACATGTAATGTCAATTGGCCCATTCTGTCCTATAATGCTATTGTGATTTGTTGTGATGTTATAGTGAGCACATATAAACATTTGTTTAGCAACAAACAACAAGTAACAATACCAAACTTTTTTAGAAAAAATGCATGATTTCCGCATGCTTAATAATTGAAATAACAAGTTATTTTGATATTTATATGTTATAATTAAATTGACCTGCCTACCCTTAATACAGGTTACCATGGCAGCCTTATCTCATTGATAATTTAAGATATAGCTATAATATTTTAGCATTGTATGTGTAATTACATACTCTACATTTTCTGAAAAAATGAGAGGGATATGTGAAAAAATCACAAAATGAGAGCATTTTTATCAGAATATATGGATCGCCCCTTGTATAAGTGTACCATTATTAACGTATACATAAAAATATTGGGTGAGACTTGAGATAATGTATGCGGCGCCAGTCAAAATTGAAACTTCTGATTGGGTTCGAAGCCGAGATGCCCGGATATGTCCCAGCAAAAGCCGGAATTCACGTGATTTTTCACGAAGATGGGGCGGAGTTTAAGCGAGATCCATCGAGACTTCTTCGTGTCAATCGTGTCAATCCCTGCATTGCTTATTGTTAACTCCACCTTTTTGCCCATATATGGAGTTGAAGATGCCACTTGCGAGCGTGAACAGTTCAGTCTAGAAATAGAAATTTCTTAAGCGATGTCTTTCTTCAATTTTTCTACACGATATCTCGATAAATAGTGGACATATTTGTACCATTCTTTCGTCAAAATGAGGGTATCGCTGGAATACATATTTCCAATCTGTTGGTCAATATATTTATTCATTGATACTGGCAGGAATTAGATCGTAATAAACATGCTAAAATTGTAAAACTTGGAACGTTTGACAGTAATCTCCGAGTAATGTATGAATTGCATCGGGAGAAAGCAGGAGAAAAGATGGGACAGTCTGTTGTGTGGAGTTTGCAAAGCAATCCCGGATATAAATGACGTCATCTTAGCAGTTTACATGGTTTCGAAAGTGATATATTTTTGTGTCGTAGTGATGAGTTTGAATTATGTCGATTATTCGATTGTTATATATAAATAAACATCGATCTTCGGCGAAGATAAAATAAGAACAACATATATATCCGATAAACATGTTGGTAAGTACAGTATTTCATTTATAATGGCAGAAAATCAAATTGAATCGAAATCGAATTTTCAACTTTTTCAATTTTTTTTCGTTCGATTATTTTGATTTTCAATTTGATTTTTATATTCTATCTTCTTCGTCCTGCGGGACTATACTAGGCATAGGCCCGGAACATGTATAACATGAGTCAAATTCACTTAAATAGAACATGCTGTAAGCTTTATTTCTTTACATTTTTACGGGCCTATGCCTGGGCTATGACTCTAGGCCTAGACTACTAGATCTATAGGACTTAGACTAGCCTAAAGCTAGAGCCTTAGATCTAGCTCTTTCAGAGGCTGTGACTGATATGTTAGAACAGCCTTTAGAGCCCCCTATCAACCACTTCAAAATTGTGTTAGTGTCCTCCTTGCGAAAATCGAAAAAAATTAAAAGGTGCTTCTGTGCCGAACAGCAAATTCTCATTATACATTGAGAAGCTACTCTTTACCAAGAAACCAAAAATGGAAGTTTTGACGGAAAGACATGACGTACAAGTCAAAATCTCTGAATCTTGCTAGGTACATGACAGATAAAGAGAATTTAAATCCTGATCGGCAAAAAAGCGGCTAATAACTTACATATTTTCTCAACAAAAAGCACTGATGTAGCTCACATTGGGAGATAGTAGTAAGCACTTGAAGTTGATTTCAGTAGATCAGTTACACCTGTCATGATTTCAAGGAAAGACACAAAGTATCCGTCAAAAGAGAAAAGCTTACATAAATGCGAGCAAAATCTGCAGATTTATTATAGCTATTGACTTCTCGAATATGTTGAACGCACAACTCTAAACAATACTTGAAATTGAATAAAATTGACAAAATATGAGAAGACAGTCTAAAACCTAACTGGGAGAGCTGCCATTGTTTGCCCGGAAATCTTCAGAGATTTTGACTGGTACTTTGTGTCTTTCCATCAAAATTGCCATTTTGGTTTCTCGCTGGGTAATTCACAGATGAAGAGAAATCTTGATTGACAAAAATACAGCTGACAGCTAACAGCTTTTCTTAAACAGAAGATAAAGGAAGATATAAAGGAACCTGTTATGATTTTGAAGCGGGTGATAGCCGATAGGGGGCATGTTAAGGCTGTAAGTAGAGGGTGTAGCCGAATAAATCTAACCCAAATAGAGTTTAACACATCTCAGTATAGGCAAAATTAAAATTCATTAAAGTTTCATCACTTTAGCATGTGTACATTTGCTGGCCTTCTAATATTTTGCCAATAGATTTGTTAGGCTTGATTGCAAATTCTTATGAAATATAAGAGTGTATGGTTTCAATGTACTGTACTCCCGATATTTTTCGCGTGCAATTTAGTTTCGTGCTTTTCGCGATTGTGTAAAAATCACGAAAATTAATAGTCGCGAATATCGCCAATTAAAGGCTGAGGTGCAACATGCCATTGACTAAGATCTAGAGATTGTAAATCTTATCCAAAGTATATGATATTGGGTAGGTGTAATTACTGTAGATAAGATAAATTAATTTTGAGGATTCAGAGAATAATGGAAGTTAAACCTTTGATATCCGCAAAATTTAATGGCCGCAAAATTGGTATTTCTCAAAATTCATGAAATTTAAACTCGCAAATTAACCGGTAGTAGTATTTGCATGTGGAATAATTATGATATTGAGAGCATTGATGAAACAAATGCAATGAACTGATTTGATTGGCCAAGGGAGCATTGGAATTTTGACCTGAAGTTCGCATGATTGTTGCTATAGGCCTTATGATTTTTTGGAATTCCAGTAATACTATTAATGTCTATTATACTTATACAGTAAAACCTGTCTTATCCAAATGCCACCGCTACAAATTAAAAACATTCAGATTTAAACGTCTGATTTCAAGGTTTTTGCATCCGAAAGATTCTTGATTTTGAAAAAATATTAATGCATTTTCACTTAATATTACTAGCATTGTAGGCGTTATGATTTTTTGGAATTCCAGTAATACTATTATACTTATACAGTAATATCTGTCTAATACTTATAAAGTAATATCTGTCTAATCCAAATGCCACCATGACCAGTTAAAACACCATGACCAGTTAAAAAAAAAACATTCAGATGTGGAGGTGATCGGATTTCGAGGATTTTGCATTCGCAAGATTCTGCATTTTAAAAATATAAATGCATTTTCACTAAAAAGTATTAAGATTACTTTTGACCGCATAGCTTTATGACATTCCAAAATCCAAATCGAATGCTTGACAGGTAAAACAGAAGTGTACAATCAGAGATGATAGATACTATTGCATGAGTATATGAAGGCCATGTGTCAACTCTTCGATTGATAATACGCCTCGAAATAAACACCCACTGGCTTGGGAAAGCTATTTTCCCTCTTAATAAATGCCTGTCCCCTTGGAAAAATGTTTTCAATTTCCCTCTTAGTCTTAATAAAAGCCAATGGCATTTATTTTGAGTTCTTTCTAATAAAGGCCCTGTGCAAAATAAATGCTCAGTGGGCCTATATGTTCGTTGAATTTAAAATTTCCCCTTCTACTCAATTTTTATAAATGTTTTATGCATCAGTATGTTGCATTTGGAGACACAAATAAACTCTTAAAAGGAAAATATTTTCTCTTTAGTATGTTAACTTTGTCTACAAATGCAACATATTAATGTGAAAACATTATAAAAAAAATGGAAGGAACTGAAAATCAGGAAAACATTTTTGAAAAAAAATGTTGATGGGGTCTTTGCACCTTCCCTGTCCCAATCTCCAATTTTTTTTATCATCTGTATGAGTACTTTTCCTTTAGATAATGCATTGGCCTAACATACACACCTTACATTTTCAGAAAATTTCTGCAATTCAACATATGACCGTCTAAAATCTGTTGCGAAACCTTTAGTATTCTTTCAAGAAATTTCCTGCTTACATGAAAGTCTTTTACAGTTTTACATTCTGTTTTTTTTAATGTAACATAATGGCTGATACCAATATTGTTCAAAGTTGTATATGTTTACACTATGGAACTAATCATTCTTTGAATTGAGTTCGATTCCTGAACAACTGGATATTTGACTAAACATTCCTTGGATTTGATTTGGTTTGATGAAGAGAAATCTTGACTGACAAAAATGCAGCTGATAACTAACAGATTTTCCCAAACAGAAAATATAAAAAAAATTTAAAGTGAGCACTTGATTTCAATAGTTTAGTTTCACCTATGCTTTTGAAGCAGGTGATAGCTGATAGGTGTCATGTAAAGGCTTTAAGTACATGGTATAGCAATAATTAAAGGTAAGAAGGTACTGTTTCATTCATATTTCTTGGTTTTAAAAACATTTAATCAAATAAGCTGGAAATTTTTTTGAGAAATGATATGATGGTGAAAGAAATAGATACAAAATTATAAAAAATTTATAATTAGCGAAAATTGATATCCGCAAAATTTCAAAATTGTGAAAGATAACAGCATCAAATATTAGTGGCAGTACAGTATTTGCATGTGAAATAATTATGATATATTAATATAATAATATAATAATTGATGAAACAATTGCAATGAACTGTTTTGATTAGCCAAGGCCAGAGCATTGGAATTTGAACTAAAGTTGAGTATAATGTTATTGTATAAATTAAAAAAATAATTATAGAGACTTCTTACAAAGTTGATCTTCATTTCAAATAGCTGAGAATATTTCCCAAAATAGATTGACTAGGCCTTCAGATTTTTTTTAATTTCAGTATTACTATTACTCATACAGTAAAACCTGTCTAATCCAAATGCCACCGTGCAGTTAAAAACATTCAGATTGGGAGGTGTTCGTTATCACAATAGATTATAATTATATCATTGATAATTTAGAGTTTATTCAAAGATGGCAGCAGCATTCTCAGAACAAAACAATCAGAATCTCATTAATCTTTTGTTCACGTTAGTTATTTAAACTTTATATTCATATATAGATGGCAGTTCTTAAATATATGATAGACACCAATAATTCAACATCATAATTTAACCTTTTCCATTAAATATACCCTGTATCAAGCACAGAAACGTATTTACACCCTTTACTAAAATGGCAACCCCTGTATCACGCACTTGTTGTTATAATTAAATAATTATCGATATATTACACTTGCGACACTTTGGTACATACAATCCCTTACTATTGTATCGACAATGAAAACGTCGACGTTTTATATTGCGAGGCTGTTCAGTGAGTAACGTGACTGAGGATCGAGTTTATCAATATTACATTCTTCTTCTAGACTGAGACGTGAGTTCATGCAGTTAAACAAATCTCAACCAAGTGGCTGTACTGTTAGCTTACCAGATGACAATATACACGTATGGGAGGTACTCATTCCTGGCCCTCCCGAATCTCTGTATAGAGGGGGCGAATTCAGACTAAGAATTACAATTCCGTATCCTTTATCAAGATACATAATTATTTAGCACCTTTATTTGATTGATATCTAAAAGTTTTGTTGTTAGGTAAGGCATGATAATTGATAAAAAACTATACACAAATTTGGATTTTACCTCATTCTTGGCTACACGTATGATTTTTCCACTACTGGGTTAATTTGTTTATAGCACAACGCACCTATATAAGTCGTTCATGATTTTAATGAAAGTACAAAGCTCTGAAAATTCCTTGACGTACTTAACAGTGACAATTATCCAATGAAAGCTCCATATGTAAGTATTATTGTTATACTATATTTTGTTCTTATTACTTCAACACATCTTGGATTCTATGAATTGAGAAAATGTTAATGTTTAAATATGGAAACTCTTTCAAATCTCCTAAAAATGAGAGAGTGAAATTATCAGCCAGAATCGTACCCCTATCATAACATAAATGATATACCCTTCATCTATATTTAATATGATTCGATAAACTATTAACTGAGCTTATAACTATTGATGAAATGGATTTTTCTTTTAAGGTTCACTTTGTAACGCCGATCTACCATCTGAATGTCAGCGAAAAATGCGGCCAGGTCTGCCTGTCGTTCCTCTCTGATGACAATTGGGCTGTCACCTCCACAATGGAGCAGATCATCCAGACTATCGTCTCCCTTCTGATCAAACCAGACACTACAAGTTCATTTGATCACGATAGGCTTAATAAGTTCGAGCACTATAAATGGGACTATGAGAAACTTGCTATAGCGAGTGCGGTAAAGGCAAACAAAAAGTGAAAAGCGTTATTTGTTGATGCATAGATCAGTCATTCCACATATAAGCAGACATTCGTGTCGCCAAGGGTTTTTTCTCAAGCGTTAATAGATATATATAGAAACTTTTTAAGAACATCTACTTAGGATAGGACCAATACCCACTTGTACAACCACCATACAGCAAATTTTAATTGTTTGGTAGTAAGTGAGAATTTTTTCTAACTTAATTTGATGACAAATTCCTCAGGTACGTTATGTCGCCAGAGTGCATAGTGATGTTTTATAAGCATAACTGAAGTAGTTATAGATTTCAGAACACATTCAAACTTCCTGAAAAGATACCTGTGGGTATATACTTTATTTTACCAACTTTTCGAGTAATTTAATCCTTTCCAACCTAATAATCAGATGCCCGGAACCCATGTCGCCAGTTTTTTTCTAAAATACCACTTTAGATATTTCAATTTCTAGAGAATGCACGAATTACTTAAATGTTTAACCCAGAGTGATATTTTATCAGAAAATGATTTATCAAAATACATGCAAAGTTTAAAAACTGTATTCTATCCAGAACAAAAGTTATAGCTCATAAAGGTGTCATTTTTCAATTCAAAAGATAAGGATTTTAAGGTACGTTACAATATTTCCCAACATTTTGTAATATCTTGATGGAATTAGCAAATAAATTCTTGAATATGACAAGGCGGACATTCAATACAATGTGCTCATTACCTTTGTTCGCTCTGTTATATTGCTTTATTGGAACATGTAATGAGTTTTCCTCATGTACGTTGCAATAAGGTACGTTACGGAAAGTGCGAAATAAGTTGATAACTCAGCAATAAATGTTACTAACTCAAATGGAGGAGGTCATCACGTGATCTCATGATACGCCATACTTTATTTGCAGTCAAAGGAAATGGGATTTCTTCCTAATAATCCGTAAATAATACAGCAATCGCGTAAGTACAACACCTGTATCTTTTGCCTAAGCAAAGCTGGTTAATCAAAGATCTAGGATATCCCTATTCGGTTGAAAGATATTCTAAATAAACAACTTAATTGGTCATTGTTAAAACATGATGTCACATTTTTTCCCAAATCACATACGACTTGAGTTTTATATCAATTAAGGTACGTTGCTTTTGATAACGTCACTTAATACTTGTTTTATTTCTGCCTTAACAGTGGTAACTAACCCGGTGTAAAAGAAATTATGGTCCCCTGGGGATTATGGTCCCCTTTCTTAAAGGGCCTTACTGGCCCTGATTGTGGATACGCTAATAAGGGAAAGAGTTGTATTTAGGTCACCATATAAATCAATGGAAAGTAGGACCATAATTTGATAGGACCTCCTACCCTTTTACACCGGGAATTCACAATTTGTTGCAGAATAAGGCCAAGACTAAAGCAGAAATTCAAAAGAATTATACAGGGCGTATCAAAAAAACGCAACAAGTTGTTATCTCGTAAAATCACAAAACTGGTAATGACTACATCAATTTCATTTAATGTACCATAAAGCCATGTCTCTCTTCTTTGCAATGATATGTCATTCATTCACATGTGGTAATGGTTGGGTGAGAAATCCTTCCATTTACACAGTGGGTCAAAATCGGCTCTGCGCCAAGTTTTAGATATTGAAAAAATCAGTGCAAGGGCTAAGTGCCAATGGAAGTTCCCCTGACTTTAATTGTTGTGACTTTTTCTTTTGGAGCTATCTCAGGAGCATCTGTGCTCACAATTCCTCCACCAGATATTGCAAAACCTCGAGAAAGATTTGCCCTGCTTTTCTTTGCTTTAACCCACACATGATTTAGGGCTGAACCATGCATGACGTGGACAGATGAGCGCATCTTTATGTGCAAGGAAGTGGTGGCAATTTGAAGGGGTATAGGATGTATTCTTGCAAGAGTATGAGTATGAACACTTTTCTGTCTATGCCATACCTGCCACAACTTCTTCCAATAGCCCCTATGCCCCTTGTACTGACTTTTGCAATGTTTTAAACTTGGGTCCGAACTGAATTTTGCCCCATTTTGCAAAATTAATGAGATGACTCCCTGTGAATGAATGATATTTCATTGCAAAGAGGAGTAATTTGGCTTTTTGGTACATAGAATTAAAAGGATGCAGTCAGCATTGGTTTTATGTTTTCGTCCAATATTGCATCGGGCTCCGTACACTGACTTTTGCAATGTTTATAACTTGGCCCGAAGCTAATTTTGGCCCACTTTTCAAATGGAATGATTACTCACCCGACCATGACCAAATATCAATGAATGATATATCATTGTAAAGAGGAGACACATGGCTTTGGTGCATTGAATTGAAATCAATGCTGTTATCACTGGTTTTGTGTTTTTCCAAGATAACAATCTGTTGCACTTTTTTGATACGCACTGTAGAGAAAGAAAAGAATTGAGGGACAAAAATACCTTGAAAAGGAACGTATCAGAAGAAGACGATACTATGTGCCCCGTGCTGAGCTAAATGGAAAACAATTGAAATAAGATGATGAAAATCGCCGCCAGTGACATGCAATTGATCTTGCAAAAGTGGAGCACATCTAGTGAAAACGTTGGCTAAAGCCTTATTCCGGCGAAGTAAACATTTGACATTTGTAAAGGAACGAAATGTCTTAGATTTAAGCGATGTTCCCTTTCATTTGCCTTTGCTATTATATATGAAGCATTTTATGTTTTGTTGTTTAAGAAGTTGTTTTTGTTTTTGTTTGTAGTTGGTCATATCACGAGTTTATATATTCTTCTAAACAAATAAATAAATGATATTGATCGAGTTAAAATGTTTTCATAATGATATTAAGATACGTTATTATTTTCAAAGTAATTTTTTTATCTCTATTAAACGATATAAAATGGTTTATGGTGACCATACAATGGAAAGGAGCTTGTGTTTTAAGACTTTGGATATATATGAGAAAGATTCAGTGGATTAACAATTGCGTCAATTTTTACTTTAAGCGACGTTGTTTTGCACTGACAAGTTTAACTTATTTCTGATTATTACTAGATGTCTTTGCCACATACAAATATATGATGATTTGGAAGCGAAATCTCATAGTTTCATTGTATGCCCAAAATAACTTTTCACATGTTGTGTTAAACATCATGAGAATACATGACAGTGTTGCGTTTTGTAAAATAATTTTTTTGAGAAGCGACTGCATTTATGCATTACAACGTAAATTTATGTTATTCTTGATTAAAATGATTAGTGATTTCCCAAATGCAATTTATAGTTTTGTTCCTTAGTGATCTATAGAATAGAGATTACCAGAGGAAGACATCGCATATCAAGTTAGCTAAAATCTCCATAGAATAAAAGAGGTATCGAGAACGAATCTTAAACGATACGCTTTTTATAATTTTACACCTCTTATTTTCAAAATAGTGTAACTTTTGATATATAAAAGTTAAAATGCCAAAACTTTGGAATTCTATAGAGGATACATAAAACAAAATCAAAATCTTAAAATGAATGCAATGAAACGAAGTTCATTTTTCAAAAGTTTGGAACCTTAAATGTCTCCTTATATGTGGAATGACCGAGATGTGCTGTCATTTATAATGCAGGAGTTGTTGTTTGAGGTTTCTAGGGAATAATTATTGATACAACGAACCATGTACGTAATCTAACTGTAACGTTACTAGGCTTATGTTATCACACCGGAATAGCCTGACAACGGTAAAGCCAGATACCGTTGTCACAATTGGCGGACATAACCGTCGTTTCAATTTGATTTTCATGAACTTTATGTTTAATCTATTGTTAATACTGTTAATAGAGCACCTAGACTAAATTCCTTTGGAACAAAAATCAATCAAAGTGTCTTTATACTCATTGCCTGTACAGTTGATAATTAAAAAATATAGACCAAAGAGCAGGGGTAATATCGTCGAATACACCCCGCATGGCTAGGCACAAACGTTTTCTGTATCTTGAAGACCAAAGGGAGTGAGGGATTCAAAAGCGTTTGTGCCTAGCCCTTTGGAGTGTATTCGACGATATAACACCTGCTCTGAGGTCTATATTACGATTCGAACATAAAAACCCACCAACATGTTTCGAATATTCATTATGGTCAGCCTGTACTACCTTATGACGCCACACATTACTCGTATTAACAGGGGCATTGCTCGCGAATATAACCCGGTTGAAATATTGACTTTAATACAGTTTATAGAAGGCGTGAATATGAATACAGTCATGTTCGAATGTTGATTATAGAATGCTATATATATCATCGTGGGTTCATCCAAAGTCTCTACTTTTCTTTGGAATATAGAGACTGAAGAGAGACTGGTAAATCAGAATAATGATGCTATATATGCATGTATTTGGGATACAAAATCAACGTATGCATTATGCATCCTCGCCTTTGTTTGTTTCATTATAGAAGATTTATGTTAAAGTGTCTCACATATTCGATCAAAATTTGCCATGCAAACATGTCTACTTTACTGGCCCCCCTTGCTGTAACAAGGAACCCAAAACACATTAAAACGTAAACATAAACCAATTAGTCACTTCACTATGAAAGTGAGGGGTGTACGCTGTGTGCATGGACTTACACAATATCAGAGGTCATTTACTGTGTCAACTTAGTAACCCTTGCATATCGTGCTCACTCAAGTATTGAATACTTTTTTTATGATCTAAATGTTTGTGGTTTATAAAAAAATGTGATATATTTTAGTTAGATATACATTAATTAATATATTCATTCAAACAGCACTAGAATGCGGGAAGAAAGAGCAATGGTGACAAAATGCAGACAGAATTTTCCGTAAGGGTTTCAAACATTTCTGAACACAATCATACATGTACGTACTTCATGTGTACTGTTATTTTTAGTGCTGTATTTATAGATATAATTTCACGTATTAAAATCATATTTTCCAGCAATGACTTCAAATTCGGAACCACACCCATATCACATTTTCTTCAATAACTCCAAACATGTGTAAACATTGACCATGTGCATGTAAATTCAGATTTCATGAGCTCTTTCCTATTCGAGTACCTCATACACCCCTGCATGGATTTGAGTTGGATTCGCCTTTTATACGTGAGCCGACACACTCGCAAACGCTGATTGGATAAAGATTGCGAGAATCTTTAAACAGATTTGAAAAGAAGATGAATCAAAACATACAAATATGTAATTCAAGTAGTTTGTTTGTTTTTTGCCTAATTAGTGATTAGTTAGTACATGATATATATTTTTATGCATTTATTACTCTTCTCATGGAAAACATTCGTGATATGTTGTAATAATGTTGTCGATGTATCCCAGGGAATCGTCGAGTTTGTCGATGTATCCCAGGGAATCGTCGAGTTTCTAGTGAGATATGAAGGTAAATTTTATTCCATCATCTCACGATAAAGTAACGTGTTCATTCTATATTCATTAGAATCAAGGTACTAAATAAACCCTTTAAAACAACTAACAACTGTATATCTTTATTCAGTCTCTTTATTCATTCTCCAAGACTGTAGCGTGACTATTACATATTGTTGATTTTTAATAGGTCATTCATTTGTAATTCATATGGAGTTAATTCCTGTATATATGGAAATCGGGGTTTGGAACAGGTTGTTAAACATAATGTTTTTGTAAAATGACATCATTGTGTCGAAATGATCGGGAAAGTCAAATGTGGATCACACGCACTCTCCAGGATCCTCCCCAGTCAGGTACTCGCAGGTTGAAATCTCATTGAGGCGTTCCATAACTTTATCAACCAACGAATCAAGCAAATAATCTTTATACGACCATAACGAGGTTGTTATGATGTTCTCCCGTCTAACTTCTGGATTTTCCATGGAACCCAATGGAGCTGACATGGTTATCCAGTTATCAATTCGTATCCTATCTGTAAAATGAACGAAATGGTATATATAAACCATGTGCTCAAATTATCTGTAAACACTGTTCCAGCTGGATAACTCTACCTACAGTTAGTATCATTCAAGATGGTGGCCAAAATTCTTTCGTTTTTGATAAACCAACTATTTCAGTTAAACAAGGTTGAACCTTGATTCCAAATGTTTCGCCATGCAAACTAATAAAGTAACAATTGTAAACAGCCAGACACCTGAATTAATAGAGAATTTTAAAGGAAAAGGCTTCACTTAGAATGATTCTAACTGATGTTGATGATACACCAATTCAAAGATGACATTCAACATTGATGACACTAACTAAGATGGCGATGCAAGTATTCATCCCTTAGAGTGAGTATCATCCACCGTTTCAGTTAGTGTCATTCCTACGTACGTCATGATGAAGTTCAGTTAGAGTCATTCTAAGTGAGGCCGTTTTATCAAAACTTCTCCAATATCGCGGGTGTTAGAACGTTTACTGGTGGCTGTTTTCATAACTTCATAGTTTGCATTGCGAAATATTGGAAATTCCGATTTAACTTAGTTCAGCTGAAATCGGAAGTTTATCGAAAACAGAAAACTTATTAAACAGATTTAGGCCAATTAAGACACCCCTGATTTGATTTTAAATCATTTGCATATTTTGAGTGGATTTTATCATTTTCCTTATTTTCATTTTTCTAATGACAAGAAACTTCAAATTGATGATAATTTATGACGACACTTTTCCGACATTTAATTTTCCGAACCTGGCAAAAATAGGCAACGGGCAAATTAAATGATTAGGAAAAATTACCACTATACACCAAATGTATTAATGAGTAACCGAATCATCTGGCGGATGGCGAAGAGCACGATCCACATTGATCATGAGGTAGACTGACTTTTCCACATCAGCCCTTTCAATAACCAATAACTCTCCGAATTTCGTTTTTGAAAATCTTAACACGACTGACGAGAAAGCTAGATTTCGTTAAATCAATGCCGAACGCCTTTTAAACAGAAACCTTTTTAACAGAAACGAAGAGGAACGGTAGGAATGTCTAACCTTTGATATCCAGACCCCCGTTGTCATACGCGTCCAAGTCAAGAGTCTGATTACGAAGGCCAATCACAAAAACAGTGGATATACCCTTAAGCTTGTCTGATTGAGTTTTCAGCTTTATTCTTCGTGCATTGTTTGATACCTTTAGGATCCCATCGTCAAGCACTAAAACAATAATTTACATTGGTCGCATCACCTTGTTAATAATAAACAGAATATCCTATATTTTGAAGAAACGTCATTCTTTGTGTATAGCAAAATACTACTTATAAATTGAGCACATGACAATAAAAACGAAGATCGAGAACAAATTTTAATCTGTTTTTTAATGTGATCTTTTTGCAAAGAACACATATCGAATTTAGCATAATATGCAAGTATTACTCCTCCTCAATGAACTTGTATAAAACAAATAGAACTCATAGGGTCGGTTTGGGGAGTTTTGTTATCAGGCGTGTCAAAAATGTAATCATGTGATATCGGGGGTGTAGGCTATTCCTACAATCGTTAGAAAAATAAAGGATATCCCATGATTTTGAGAAAAATGCAATTTTTATTCTATATAATATTATGAAACAAATGGAAGGGAAAATCTAAGGATATGATAAATATCGTCAGGTTTAACTCTGCTTTTGTAATATCATTAACGGTGAATGCATGAATTATTTAGTGACTAGATTTAAAAACTCTAGTTTAAAATTTTATAATAATTAGTGACATTTTTAAACTGAAAACGTCTTACCTATTACAGCGTTCCTGTTGCGAAGTCTTGGTTCATATCGATTGCCGTAACTGAAGAATGACTCATTCGAGTAGATATAGGACATTGCCTTAAAAGGATACGATCGCTCTCCGCCATTTGCAAAATCAATCTTTCTTATCCCATTATTAATGAGGGTATCGATATCTGTGAACATTTTCAATCCGAATTCTTTCCTGTAAATAAAATTCACAAATTCTAAGTACTGGCATTTGAATATACATATTTTTTCCAAATATTTATTCTTTATACATAATACAGCATTCTATATAAAAAAGCTTGACAAGCTAAAAGGGACCATATTGATATGTCTATAAAGTGAGAAATGTTAAATGAAGCTGATTTGATTTAATTACTCAACTCCATTGGATTTCCAGATAGATAAAGTCTTAATGATCAAAAACTCAGTCAGTTAAAGAAAAATTTAAATAAACAAATGATACAGATTATTGAGCATATATTATTGGAAATACAGGGCGTCCACAAAAAAGTATACCCAACTTAAAAGCCAGGATACTAGAATTCTGAGCAATGTTTTAAAAACATTAAGGTAGCAGTAAAAGGCCTTGTTTGTCCTCCATCCAATGGTACCTAGATCATTATGTAACTGTCATGAATGACTGAGCAATCATGACTTTTATGGAAGGTGGTAAAATTAGCACCATGCCAAATTATCATTCAAGTAGGAATGACATAGTGAATGTTTTTTGTGTTTAAAACATTATTAATGTTCAAATTCAAACTTGTTTTATGTTCTTCACACTATTGCATAATTTTCCATAACTTTCAGTTGGTACCTCCTCTTGAGGAATGGGATCTGAAGAGTCTCTTGATCAGCAATGAAATTTCTACTTGATGACATGCAAATTTGAAGTCAATTGTATCCCCATGTAAAGCCAATAACTCTTGCTAAAATCCTCATTTTCTCAGAAGAACTTGAGTTTATTTAGTCTAAACATGTACATTCATGTTGGACAGTATTGCTTTCAATAGTAAGATTGGGGGTGCTATAAACAGTATGTGGGACTTGCTTTTTAGAATTTCTTTTGGGCTCTACTGCTCAGGTGTCAGTAGAACCATTTTTGCAGGCCTATTTTAAATTAATTTAAGCTTTTTGTCAAACCTTTTTTCATAAGAGAGTTACTCAGTTCCAAGTCCAGTTCAGTATGGAAGGCCCGTCCTCTAACTTGATGTAACAGAAAAAAGAATATTAAGCCAATTACACATCCATTGCCACACAGGAAGCTAACTTGGCACAGTGATAATTTTACCACCTCTCATAATGGTTAGGATTGCTCAGTCATACAAGACAGTTACATAATGATCGTGGTACCATTTGATGGAGAATAAACCAGGACTTTTACTACTACCTTTGTATGAAAACTGCTTAGGATTCTAATAATTTGATTGGATTTGAAGTTGGGTATACTTTTTTGTGGACGCCCTGTATATAGATTAGAAAAATATTGTCGTGAATATGCATTTCGAAGAAAATAAATAGTATCTTTGATTGTGAATATGGCTATCGTCTGGAGTCTAAATTGCGCCCATGATGCACAATTCAACCGTACACATAATTGTAAATATGCACATTTACAAAACTTTACGCACTAAGATTGTGAATTTAATACAAAATTTTACGCACGTAATCGCTTGTTATGTGCATTAGAAATCATAAATTACGTATAATGATTGTAAATAGCATATCAAACAATCGTACTCATAGTAAATATACACATTTTACAAAATCCAAGAAATTTTTCACAAATATAAATCAGTTCTATTGGCATGGCTGTATGTGTCACAAATTCCTGCCAAAGCAAGTTTAAATATTATTTATACACCTAAATACCTAGGAAACTTGAAGTAGACTACAACTCCCACAAGGTTTTTCGAGGCCTGTATACCAATATCCATTCTTCGAGCAATTTTTTCAATAAATTCCTCGATCATCGAGTAGAGGTATATCCCATTGCCGTGCTCTTTCCACAAACCCTTTCGTATATTCACCATGAAGGCAAGGTTGAGCCCACAGTCTAAAGAAATAGGAAAATAGATCATAGTTAACCTCATAGGTATCTGAATTAAATACCACCTGCGTCTGTGACAACATTTCCATCATCTAATTGCTGAATACAAAATGTGGATGTGATGTTTCAATCGACGTAAGCATAGTTCTTACATCCTGCTCTATCTTGGCTTTGCATTACAAGCTATCCTATTAGAAAGCACGCTAGGAATTGACATTATATCATTCGAAGCGTTTTAAAAAATATTAAATCTGCCATATCATTTCGCGGTTAACCTATTGATAAATGTCATTTGACCAATCAGACGTTGATATAGTCAGGCGTGTCTGTCATTGACCAATCAGACGGTGATATAGTCAGGCGTGTCTGTCATTGACCAATCAGACGGTGATTTAGTCAGGTGTGTCTGTCACTGACCAACGGGTTCATCTATACATGAAGGTTCATCATTGAATTTAGGATTCCCACTCTTGACAAAAAAGAATTGTGATCATAAGTGGACTATTATGCTTGCCCTGCTAGAGATGATACACATGGTGTACCATGCCTTCTATTTAGGCCTCGGAAAACTGATGTATCTTTCTGCTTTTTCGAGGAAACAGTCGTCAGACAGTTCCTGAATGTACTGGTTTGAAACGACATCTTAAATGATAATGTGGCTGATGTACACAGATAATAAAAATAACTATTAATAGGTTAAATGTGAAATTAACCAAGTCAAATGTGAACGATGATCCATAAAATTAATATTGGCTGTCTTACAGTGTATGCTGTCAGAGTTTTGCTACCAAGACTGGCGTAAACAGTGGTGCTTTACTCGATTGCGCTGGTTGGCGAAACGAATCAAAATGTCGGAACCTCGAAGGTATGATTTTCCTTTTTCCTTATTTCAGAATTCGCACGGATTTTTATCTCAAACGCGTGCCAGTATCATATAATCAAGAGAATGTACATGTTTGCAAACAAAAGTACAGTAGTTCAGAAGGCAACATGATCGTCGTCGATTTAATACCTCGCTATTGTTAGGTAAACAGAATGGGCTAGAAGTGCAGATCCTAAGCGTTTATGACATTCTGTTTACGTAACAAAAGTAACAATTGTATAAAATGAATTTTATTTCATACTAGGCGATATACCAAGAGCTTTGCTATATAATTATCTTAGCACTCAAGCTTTACACTAAGCGTTTGCATATTTACAGTTAAATAGTAGTGAATTGCGATATGTGTACTTAAAACATGATCCCCCTGTTACAGGTGCTGAAACAATAGATAAAATGCTGGAATTATACATGTTCTAAAATGAGGACTTTATATACGTATCAAGAAAATTATCACGGGATACCCTTTTTTCACAGAAAAAATCTCAAAATACATTTTGTACCTGACAGAGGTAAGAGTAAGATATTGAAAATATTTTAGCAAATTGTAATAATTGTCTACTCACGAATCCCGGGCACAACGACAGCATCCAACTCAGCTTGATCAAAATCATTCAAATCTAAACAAATAGTAAAGAGTATCTACATTAAATTTTTATTTCGGCAGACATTGTCAAATAACAGTACACATTTGGACTCATTGGAACCGCAACATAATTTTGTATTTATTGTATTTTGTTTACCAAATACTTTGTTAATTAAAACCCGATGTGCATTATGCAATAATTGCTTTGCTTTCGTTGTTGAAACTGCAACTCAATAGGTGACACATCGTTTTGTATTCTAATATTTTGTTAATATATCAAATCTATTTTACGCTTATGTTAAAAACAAGAGAACTGGTGGCCTGGTTCATTCAATTTTTGGTGAAATATTCAAAAATATAATGATAACACTCTCGGTCGATATATACTACACGGACGGACGTACAGGGTAAGGAAAAAAGACATTTCTTAAACTACAATATGGGTGAACAGCCACAAGCTAAAATCTGAGATACGGACAATCCTTAATAATAATCCTCAATATAAGGGAGACAGTTTAGAAAAGTAACATTCAATTTATTATTATGCCCACGTTTGCATGCATCCCTTTCTTTAGGTCCGCGAGAAAAACTATTTAGAAATGATAGAATTAAAAATATTATTTGAAAATGTTTTGGGTGATGGTTTGTTGTAATCAAAAGTTTTTGCAGTTGATTTTCATCTATATAATTAGTATTTAACGTATCTAAAATCATGTATTTTTTACAAATTACAAATCACCATTGTGACATGACACTTTTGATGGTTTATTTCGTTATAATAATATAATTCTATTTTTCAAGCAAGCTTCGAGTCTCTTTTAAGAATATAGAATTTCAGTTAACGATTTATTCAAACACTCGCAAATGACAGATACATAAAGCAATTAAACATGCGATTTAGATAAGAAGAGTGATTTATATGAGATATGTCATGTACGATATATTCTTAAGTAAATTGTTTTGACAGTCTGTGCTCATTCAAAACACTTCTTATAATGGTGAACAAGTGGATGAGTAATTACGTGTACCTAGGTGATGTCGAATGACACGTAAGCGTCTATGACATCTAATTTGTCCAGTGTGTTCAAATACGTAGCGTGCAATATGTAAATCATAATCTCTCTTACGTAACGTTTTTATGAAATATATGTATTTGAGCGAGGCCACAGGAAAGGGGTCTTATCACAGATTTTTTCAATATTTTGATTTTTTGTCTCTCTTAAAAAGCTCAAAGAGACCTTTCAAATGAGCCATGACTTATGTCTTAACAATTTTTCTGTGCAGATATAGACCAAAAGACAGATTTGAATTTAGAACATTTTCCTCTTAATCTTGAGCACGTTTTTGGCTCTGTAGCACAATTTTAATTTTTGTGATAAGACTGGTTTTCCTATGGCCAGGCTCATTTACTATTTATTCGCACAAATTTATTCATACTTGATATTTTTGCCGTTATAAATCGTGTTTTGCATTAAACACTTAGATTGGACTTTCTATTATGTCACCTCTTAATATTTACATTTGTATTTTTGTTGTGAGAACTGAATTTGCAGTACGAGAATTAGTCACTTTGGGTTGCTTCGTGTCGTCTCTTGAGTACATTAAGTGTTTGAATATCATACAAATATTTCATACTATTGAGATGAACAACTGTTCATCTTTAAATGATTCTAGCAAGGTGTATTCCCGAAGCCAGAAGGGCCAAGAGAATATACCATGCGGAATAATTTAAAGTACAACAGATATTCATAGAAAATAGTATGAAATATTTGAAATACTTGGGTCCATTATATTCTAACCAAATCCATGACTATCACTCTTACTTTGATATTTTATTCGTGATTTATTTCTAAAACCAACAGAAACATTTTGTAGTTAAAGTCAGCAAGAAGAAACGTCAATCAAGGTGTGTATAATGTAAACAAGACACTGCATTTGATAAATTCATGAAATCGATAGGCGCGATATTTGTGATATGATCATTACGGCAATACAACATGCCACTCTAAGTTAATACTGCGACATTTAATATTTTGAGAAAAAACAGAGACATGATAATATTATATTATTGAAAATAATATTTGGTGAGAATTGTCAGAAAATGAGAGCACCTTTTAGATGGAACCATATTTTGATATCAATCAAATGAGCAGTAATGTCAATAAGTATTTTAACAAAAGAAATGTACCAATAACATTAGTTGAAGTTAGGTTTATTGTGAGGCAATACCGACATCTGGAAAAGGAAGTGGTCAAATTTAATTTATTGTTTTTTTTCCATATGTTTTCCAACCATGAACTAACAAACAATTTAAAGTAAATACATACCTAAAGCCGTGCTTAACGTGGCGAGCCCTAAACCGAATACCAGTGTTAACATCACATGCCCGTGTCCCATCTTCATTGTGATGGACCTCTTAAGATTACGTCACAGTCGCAGAACGCAAGAGTCTTCCGCACAGTGTCAAATCACCCGTTCTAGTGAGTCAGATTACAATTTGGTTACATTTGAAGTCCAACCCAAATCAATAACACATGTTCTCACCAAAACAAATTATTATGCTTTTTATGTATTAATTATGATGTCAAATGAAAAATAATTGAAAATGTAAGAAATTAAATATCATTTCGTGATCTCAACGCTCTAGGTCATAGAGAAATCGTGTTGGATAAGTATTTTACAAACATTTCCGTAAACAAATGATGAAAAATAGTGTTTTCTTGCAGAATAATATTTTTTCAATGGGTAATCGGTGGTATTGTTTTTCGAACACTGTAACTGTCCGAAAGGCCATGACATTAATGTCATTTTTGTGATATTTTTGACGGAAATATGATTTTAAACACAAATATTTTCATTCATTTTGATATCCATGATATTCGAACATTTTGTGATAATTTTCATTTACATTTAATCTGAAATGTAAATATTTGATTTCAAAACACCTGTTGGCTTCCTGACTTGATTTTCCTTCGCATTGTTCTGACGTCATTGAACATCCTAACTTTGACATGTAATTATATATAAGAAAACATATATTTGTCAAATATCGATTGACGGGCGATTGCAATATTTTAAAGTTGGTCTCTTGAGCTATAATATTTCAAAGCATGATATTATTTTACCAAACTATAATGCTTCAAAACAAGTACACCATCGAATAATCATCAAGTATATCGATTTCAAGATTTAATTACAAATGTTAAAATGCAGGGTTTATTTATTTGACGCGATGAAAAGGTGGATTTTACCACATCAAATTCCTGAAATTAACGTCTACGTTTCAAAGGAAAGGAAAAACAAGTGGTAAAACGAGTTAAAATGATTCTTAGTGATGATACTACTCTGTTTTGACACTGTTTATATCACGAAAGGTGCATTTTGTTTATGGCGACTAAACCTTTGAAATAAAAGTATCTGTAACGGCCATTAACCAATCACAAATTCCAGATCTTGATCTGGGAAATTTTAAAGGTTTAAAGGTTTTTATTATCATACCAATCAAAACCATGTTACAGAGTAAGGGCCGAAGCAATGCATTATTGACCCTGGTAATCGAGAATTAATATAAATGACAAAGTTGCAAAGAAAACTTATATTATCTGTGAAATGCATATGATAGCCAGGCTAAGCCAGAATCAATTAGATTGTAAAGCTGATGAAGGAGCAGAAACGGTTAAAAACCTTTATGCGCGATTCGGATTCTCCCTTTAACACTTGATTATGAAACAATGAAAATGTGGGGGTTCTCGTATATTCAGTTGCTTTAAGTAAACATCATACATATTGTATAATAATCGGATCAATCATTGCTCTAATTGTCAGTACAGCTCGTCACGTAATGCTCCTACACTCCCTGACTTATGTTCCGGTTGCGCATGCGCTGAATAATTGTTGTTAAAGTAAATGCAACTTTCAAAGTATAAATAGGAGACTGTAGTAGTAATAAATACTTTATTTTATACATTACTTTCTTTTTTACAGTTATACACCTTTTTTCCTCATTGAACAACATGTTAAATAGTGCTCGTGTTTAAATTTTCATAAAAAAAGAAAATGGTTGTTTTAATTACTAATTTCATAAATTAACCACATTCTCAGTTTCTCAAAGTTTTCCTGGTGTGTTCCTCACTGACAAAATATCGTACTTTGATGACACATTTGATTAACTTATTAAATCTCCGTTTTCAGTGTTATTCCGATACAAAACAATGTCTTTCTAGCAAGATATTTATATATCATTTTATAATTATGTAATTATTTTAAAAATAAAGTAATAATTCAAAATCGGCTTTTAAATTTCACAGTATGGTTATTATAGTAACTCACCAGCAAAAATAACTCAATCAGCAAGTTGTTTGTCCTTTCTTCTTTAACAGAGTGAAATTTATTTTATAAAAACAACAGCTTTTTATTTCTCACAGTTTCATTCGAGTTTTGTTTCAAAAGATCCAACCATCAGATATTATTAAACAATCATACTAGAAATTGGTTTATGTAAAGAATACTTATCCTCACCACATGATCTGAAGGACACATCCACAAATCCACAATTGCCTTGAATACAATCTACAACCCTTTAATGTATTCTAGAGATGTCAGCGAAAATATTTGTTCATGACAAAATTGTATAAAGCTGTAACAAATGGATTTATATCATAAAGAGTATAATTTAAAATTATATCCTTACTGTGCTCATTTCATATAAATGACTGTCTACCTTTCAGTTACAATCATAAGTTTCTATGCATGCCATCTACACGTCACTTGTAGACTATGAGTAGTAAAATTGTTGGAATCTGATTAAGATCATTTGCTGAATATCGTATTGAAGCAGTGGATTAATATTGCGTATATGTATTTTATAACATTCTTGGACGTGTTACAGATACATAAAGCTTGATCATCTGGTTCACATTGTTCAATTGGCCACAGTTCAGAAAATTCCCAAGATGCGAACTTTACAAATATTAACCTATATGCGAATGGCGATTATGTTGTAGCGGGCAGATATACTATATCTGCATGCCCGCTCGAAGCGGGACGTAAAGCTTTATCTGCCTCCTGATGAAAATTTAGGTTTTACAAACTTGCTTTATGTACCTGTAACACGTCCAAGTATGGGACAAATAGAGGATATCCTATGATTTATGAGTGATATGATTTTTATCCACGAATGGATATGATATCTGCACGAGCGAGCGTAGCGAAAAAGTGCAGATATCAATATCCATGAGTGGATTAAAATCATATCACGAGTAAATCATAGGATGTTCTTTTTATTCCATAGTAAAGTCATCATCAGCATCGTCGGAAATAAAGTGATTTAAATCGAATTTTCCAAACGATCAGGCGATGTTGACACTTAGCCTCGTTTTGAATCTGAAGTAGCAAAAATCCATTATCAATAGCATACGGCGCCGTATGTCATGGCTTAAACACCGTATGCTATGGCTAAGTGAAAAATTGTCAAAAATATCATATTTTACCACTGATTACAAAAATACCGTTTTTATTTTGACATGTTATCCTATGAATATCATGTTAACTATGGAATAAATAGCTTTACGCCCCGCTCCGATTGGGCAGATATAATATATCCGCTACCATACGTTTCCCTGTCAATAATCAAAGATTCAAGAAAATAAATATGGATGAATATCTGAAAGAACAGGAAAAATGGCCACGGCCAAGAAAAAAACTGGACCTGAATATTCTCAATAGTTACTCGGTTGGTTGGAAATGCTCTGAACTTTGGACAATTGGACAATGTGAGCCAAATGACCAAGAATGGTATGTGAACAAAATATCCTCCTTTACCCGGGACCTACGGCTCTTGGGTAGATATATTGTATTTGCCTCGCAATAATCCCAATATCCTTAACCTCATATAGGATAATCTCTAAATATTTACTGGTTTATAGAATATGCCAAATGACCAATGAAGTTCAATATTTGAGTCCATAATAAGAGGGAAAAGGGGGGGGGGGAAGTAAGACACAGCCCATAGCGGACTTTTTATCTCTCTGTCCTGCGCCATTTTCGTTTTGAGAAACTTAAATGTTCGACCAATCAGTGACAATAACGTCATCCACTGACAAATTAAAAAGAGGGTCGACTTTACTTGAAGATAGAATCATAGTATGTCGGATTCTCTTTCTGACACATAACTAAATTAAAAGGTGTTTTATTAATCTAGTAAATCAGTCAACGCATGATGTATGATACATTAATAAATAGTTTCACCTCAATTCAAAACTTTTTTTAAAGCTGGCGGGAGTCATATTAAGAGACCCGAAGACGCATTTACGCGAATTTATATCCTTCAGATAATTTATTTACCCACTCTGGCTATTGTGTACGGTTTCAAAATATATCAATTATCCCAGAAAAAACATGTTTATTTGAATAAGGGCTGTCAAAATCTATTATGTGTAACATATACTATTAAAAAGACGTGCAATGATGTGTTAATTTGCACATATAAAAAGTCACTTGATTAGAGTATTTAAGTATAATTTACTAAACCCGAGTATGAGAACAAGGATGATAATTCGATACAGCTTAAAAGTTATGAAGTTGTTGTTATACATATCAGGAACTTTGCTTATCTCTGAGACGATACAAGCTATATATCAAAATAAAACCGAATTGTTTAGCTCTGGGTTTCATGATGATTTCGACTTTGAGGAGCGACAAAATCTAGATTATCTCATTAGTCATAATCCAAATAAAGTGATAACTAAGGCTGACAACAAACGCCTTTTTGGTGAGAAGAACACTAAACATGGGCGCAATAGTAGGATCAATGATGTAAATGGAACTGGGGTAAAATACAGAGATAAAAGAAACATACAAGGTTGGTACTGATTACTTTTTTTTACAAAATATAGTCGATTTCTATGTTTTTTATTGATATTCAATTTACTTACCAACCGCTTTACTTTTATATCCTATGTAGGCTAATGAATTTAATCTTTAAAAAAATTTAAAAACAAAATTATGTTATCATATTTTGAAATCAACTGGTGAAAATGTGTGATTCTGTTTTCAATTATTCGTACATCTAAATCATCATCGATACTGTGTAAATTGTTTATGTATTTGCAGTCAGAACACCATGCAAATTGCTGTACTTGGACTCAAAGGTTCACATGCCAGCTGAGATTGCATCGTCCCTGGGAAACTGGTTCGGACTTTGGGTACTGGATGAAACACTTACCTTCAGTGGTTCCCCGTTGTATAACCACGAACGACTAACAGAACTGCATCTTTACAGATTGAACTCCAACCATTGGGTGATTGCCCAAGAGAAACGCGAAACTGATGATTATCGTAGCCTTGATGGGTTTAAAGCTGTAGTAACCGACCCTGCTGATTTTCCAGAAGATATCAAAGAGCCAATTACTGTCGTGTCTTCTGCAGATGCACTAAGTCAATGGCCAGGACTCAACTTAACCTGCGTTTCTGGTAAGCGCTTTGTCTCAATATTGCGTAGTGGCAGTCATGTGCATTTACTGATGACTTTATCACTTTATCACAAAATATAAAGAAATCGAACTACACGTGGGAATAACGTTCAACAACTTTATGACTGGTTTACTCTTAGATGTTTTGATTTTCTTTTTGTGTTGTGTATCCATTTTTAGGATAATTAATATGAAAAATGTTACCACCTGCTCTTTGTTAAAGACGCAGAACGTTGACCGCCGGACGCCAACCGCCGTTACAAAAAGATGAAGACCATAACAATATGTCACGACTTTTGATGGTGACAAAGAGACTGAATCCGTCGGGTAATCTTATTATTTGACGTTTACACGCCTTGTATATGGTATATAACAACTACATATTATATTATTAGTGGAATTAATTGATTTGTCCTTATATTTCAGTGGAACATACTTGCTTAGAAATAGCTGTAACCGGAATAGGTTTTGCATCTTTGCCCTATGCCAAATTCAATGGAGTGTATCTAAAATCTGGCGTCGACTCCAATCGACCATATTACGATCATAGTTCCCAGTTGCACACTGGCATCGTATTTAAAAATCAGAAATGGGCAATGTCGACATTCAGGTTATCAAGATGGAGTAGTGGTCGCAGGTGGAGTGACTTCATGACGACAAGTGATTTTGTTTTTGAACCAAATGACGTCAGGTTTGAATGGTCTCAGACTTCGAATTTGGATACGTCATTTTCTCACTATGATATCAGCATACAATGTATTAAAGGTATATGGTTGCTATTGCGATATTTTGATGCTTAATGGAGAGAAAATGTACTATTGATAACATAAGATATTATCTTAATATTGAGTAACAATTAACTATAAAATAATAAATAGTTTTTATTGTGTTTTTAGATTCCAATAGAGATTTTAGATTTTCTTGTTGATTTTTGTTGATTGTATTTCTCCAACATTCATTTAGAGGCAACGGAGATTGTTACACCTACGCTAGAAGCACCAATCCTATCATGTAAGTTTTTAATATAATTTCAAAAGGAAACGACAAAATATGTTAATTCATCATCCTGAATACATATTCCTATGACCTAACAAAATCTACTAGTAATTAGAATGTGCTCTCCAGTGTCTGAGATACCCTTCTAAATGCGCATGCTTGGCGACGATTTCCAACAATAACGTGACCTAAGCGCATGTAAACGTTCTTTGAGAGGAGGTCACCTCCGACTTAAATCAAGTGCATTTCCATACAAACATTTTTCATGAATTTGATGAAGCATTATGTTCTGCTGGTAACTTTATTTTGTTTAATACCGATGACTCTAACACAACGAAATGCATTTGTTACAACGGAAATTGTCGGGTTATTATAAGGAAAATACGATTACTATTCAATTGACCCTTCCACACGAGTCTCTTCTGTTCATGCATGTTTTTCTGATAGAGTCAATCATATACAAATTTTGTCTTATACTTCAGACTGTCCCACGCTATATCTGTCAGGGTTTTACAGTTCTATTCAGGGCAATGTCGACGTTATCAAAGTATATGGGTACTATTTTCTCATACCCAACATAACGCAGAACGAGCGTCCAGTATATGCACACGAATCCAATTCAGCGTTTATGAGGTTTATCTGCATTGGTGAGACAAGTAGTTCTTGGCTGTGGGCTATCAGTAGGAGCATTAATATAACTGATAGGTCATATGAACTATCAGTTCTGGATACAGCTTTGTCTCCTGAGACTATTTCAGGAGTCTCTTGGAGAAATGGACAACAGGAGATTATAACACAAGTCAGTTGTGATAAGGGTAAGTATTCCTAGTATATTTTGCTATTTATATATAACTCATGTAACCTTTAACATGATATGATCGGATATTTTATATTTGCTATATGGTAATGTTACGGTAAATAATTGGTGAACCTTTACAATATTCATAGATGTCTCCACCCCATGCTGAAGCTAACATGGTACGTGATATAACTGACAAAGTAAACGCCTACAGGCTTAACATTGTTTTACTACAAAATGTAAAATAATTCATTTTAGATGGAAGAAAACATACCAACCATGACCACATGCTCATACTTGACAATAGCACAGACAATCGATTCTCTTACTTACGGGGATTATACAACACAACGGGTGATATCATCAATCAAAGACTTGTATACCAATGGATGAAGCCGACCCTTGGCTATATTTCAAAATTGAGCGATCTTCATGTGTATTACCTCTCGAGCTCATCGGAGTGGGTATTAGGTAATACCAGATTCATCAATAAGGCTGCTTTACACGCTTTTCTAGATTACTTTGCTTCTTCAGAAATTCTTAACTTCAAACACAATTTCATTCACCTAACTTTTTATTATTACTTTTGAATATATTTACATACCATATGTTAATGTATATGGATAATGATGTACTGTGAATGTGTAACCGTTCCAACCATTTGAGCAAGTATTTTACATTTAGGGCAAGGAATAGAGGGGGAAAATACCACTATTGTATGTCGGGTGACTGACCCCGTTCTGTATCCAACTAATATCACCAGACCTTGGATGTGTGGTGATTCAATTACTGGTTTGACCAATCCAGAACCCTTCCAGTTTTTATACTTTGTCCCTGAGCCAGGTGAACATAATTTAGCTACCTTTCATTGCTATTACCATATTTGACTTCGTTTGTATCAACCAAATTGTGTTTTATTTTACAACCTGATAGAATTCAAACACGTTTATAATTAGTTTATCGCAAAATATATGTGTAAGGTATTTCTAATAAATTGTTTTTCAAAAGATGTGTAAGTATTTCTGATTTACTGTGCTTATACTTCAAGAACCAACTACTCAAACAATCGCTGTTACGTCACCTAATGAGACTACGCCGCACTATTCAGGTTTGAAACTGTATTAATTAGTACAAATTAAAATAGATAACAAATGTTGATGTTTTTCAACAATAATTGTTAATAACACAAACTCTATATGTACATTCTATACTTTTATAATTAAATTTTATTTCAATTAATTAATTTTTTGCCTAATGTTTTGAAATGTTCAGTTTATGTAAACTTTTTTTCTACTTCAAGAGCCGACAACTCAAACAGTTACAATAAAGACAGCAAACGAGACTACACCAACGGTTTCAGGTTTGAACAACTTATCTGCACAGAAATAATAAATTATGATGATTGCCAAAGATGGTTTGTACTAACATATATTATTGAACAATTTTATTTGTGTAGATGAGTGATCTGTGACATTTGATGGTTATTTGTATCGTACTGTGTTTATAAAATGATATTCAACAACAATCTTTATATTTATTTAATTACATGTAACCAGTACGACTTTTAATTCATATAAGGCTGTTCATTGTTTTGATCTTGTAATGCATTCACACAAACCCTTTTCTTTTTCAAGAACCGTCTAATCAAGCAATCACCATTACGTCACCAAACAAGACTACACCACACTATCCAGGTTTGGTAATCTTTTGAATACATTTTGCTGTCAGTCTATGTTCTCACTTTTTGATAATGTCCCGTTATATCCAATCCCATTTAACTGGAATACTTAAGTTTAACTCTTGCCTTCTAATCCGAATGATTTATTCATCATCCGCATTTATTGGTTGTATTCTGGAAGGTATTCTTGGTTGTATCTGGAAGGTACTTTGTACGATCCAATAGCTCATTTATCGCTCATTCAACTTTTGTCTCCCGAAATGGACGAAATTATACTTAATCGAAAATAACCGAGTTGTTTAATTACACCTTTTCAACTTGCAGATTGTCAACGATGACCAAAATTGAATCTAAGAGACAGAAAAATGATTGCATTATTTAAAAGTCTTTACATTGTCTTTCCGAGTGTAGATTATCGACACTGATAAACAATTTTGTAATAACTAGTAGCAAATTCGTCGTTTTCATTAACGTGAAAAGTTTAAAAACCATAAACGTCAAATAACTCAACTTCCTTTAGAAACATATTAACGTCTTATTACAGCCAGAGCACCATGTGGAATGCTTTACTTAGACTCAAAAGTGCATATGCCTGCTGAGATTGCATCGTCCCCAGAAAATTGGTTCGGACTATGGATACTGGACGAAACACTTACCGTCGGTGGTTTACCTTCATATACCCACGAAAGCCTTACAGAACTGCGTCTTTACAAAGTAAACTCCAACCAGTGGGCGTTTGCACATGAGAAACGTAAAACTGATGATTATCGTAGCCTTGGTGGATTTAAAGCTGTAGTATCTGACGCTGCCGATTTTCCGGATGATATCAAAGAACCAATTATGGTTGTGTCTTCTACAGGTGCACTCAAGCCATGGCCAGGACTTAAGTTTACCTGCGTTTCTGGTAAGAGTTTGTGGTAGTATCGCGCTATTATGGAAGCTCGGATCTTCATAAATGAAATATCTTGAAGGAAATTTACATGTAAAAATAATTGAGTTTTGTAACATTCTGGCAATATTATTATGAAATATTTACAAGCCTATATAGATTCAAACTACTGTATAAATAGTGAAACCACGTGTATCATAATTTTATTTCAGTGGAAGTAGCTTGTGAAGAAATAGTTGTAAGCGGAATAAGCTATGCATCAAATTATGCCAGATTTAATGGTATATACCTACAATCTGGCGTATACTCCAATCGACCATACTATGACCATACTTCCCAAATTAACACTGGTATCATATTTAAGAGTGGGCGATGGGCGATCTCAACATTCAGGGTATCAAGAAGGAGTAGTGGTCGCAGATGGAGCGACTTCATGATGATGAGTGATTTTGTCTTTGAACCAAATGATGTCAGGTTCAACTGGTCTCAGACATTTAATTTGGACCCATCATTTTCTCACTATGATATCACAATACGATGTATCAAAGGTATGGGCGCTCTATTGCTATATTTTGATGCTATTTTTACTATTGGTAATGGTATTCAATCACATTATAAGTTTTTGTTTACGCATAGTTTATGTCGGTTTTGACTCACATATATAAACATTGTATTTTGTACTCTTTTCTTTATACTTCAAGAGGCGACCACTCAAACATCTGCGATAACGTCACCAAACGGGACTATACTACACTTTCCAGGTTTGATAATTTTGCTCAGTTGTACTGAAATAATTACGTATTTTGATTTTTAACGATAATATTTACGAACACATATTTTACGTAAACACACAGTAAAACAAAGCTATGACTTTACCTTTGTTTGCATTATTGCCCAACTGGCATGTGATCATTTTTAGCACAAAGACAGTCGAACATGTGTTTTAAAATAATACCAAATATTATTTATACAAACTACGTTTACTTAGTGCAGTTGTATATAGCCTACATTATGTCATCAGTTGACACATTGCTTTGTCCATTGTTCTGAATTTGTACTGTTTTTCTAGTAAACGGTTTTATACTTCAAGAGGCGACCACTAAAACAAGTGTGATTACGTCACCAAACGAGACTACATCACACTATTCAGGTTTGATAATATTTTTGATAATGTCTTTAATTGCAAAGAAATTAATATATTTTGATGATTCTCAAATATTTCCAAATATAATATAAATTCACAATACATCATTTTGCTGTTTATCGTATACAATTCATCACTTTTAATATCGAAAATGACCAATTATTAATTTGACCATATATATGTATTTACTTCTCATTGCAACTGCTGCCAATACTAACACATATCTTACATTTTTACTTACGAAAAAACAAAACTAATCTACAATGGATTTCATAAGCAAATAACATCCATGGTTGTTTCGGGTAGTTTTAACTGCTTATTAGCATGACGCGTGTGTCATTAGGTAGTTTGTTATAGCTTGAGATGTATTAAATCCCTTTCATTTGGGTTGTACATATTGGTGTATCAACACCTAAATGACACATACCATAATGCTAACTTAATAATCGACTAAATATATTAATTAAGAGACTAAACTTCATGAAACGTGGTTAAAAACAGAATGAACTGGTTAAAAATATACGTCTTAAACTTTAACATCCTCCAAAGCAGGTGTTCAGAATCCGTACCTCCTTCTTCCCCCTGCTATAACCAATTTGGACGCGTCCGATTTAACTGAATCACGTGATCTAATCATGCGCAATGACGTATACATGATTTCTGTCGCAGTGTTGCGACAGCCAATCAGATTGCGAGTTCTTAATCGGGGAAATGGTAACTGCTTATCGCAGGGGGTAAAAAGAAAGAATATGTTCTGGATTTTGGACCCCTGTGATCGGAGGATGAAACTTTAACAACACAATATACTCTGACATACGCATTCAGCAACAATAGAATCTTGTAGACAAGCTTGTAGATTAGATATCAACAGAGTAGGAATCATTTTAAGATTTAGGTGATTTAATGGAATGTTTGACCAACACTGGTAAATGTTGAGTTGAGATGGCATCATATCTAACGCAAGAAGTCTGATAAGCTACTCCTGGATATCCATCATTCTGAAGGTAAGGATAGCACTTTCAATTAAAGTCACGTTTAACATGTTCTTGAAAAAACTCTAATGACTAAATCTTCACATAATTGTGTATAATATTGAAAACAATGGTTTTCTAGAAATTAATCATTTGTCATTCTTATTTATTACTGTATCAAATGTTAGACAATGTTTCTTATTTCAGTACACAAGCAAGGATATTTGCAGATGACACAATACCAGAGATCTTAATTTTGCACTTAGAGACGACCTGTAGTGGAGGTAAGTCATCTGGGAAAATGTTTTTTCTGTCATGGTTATAAATTAAAACCTCTATGCATTCTAGATGACAGCTATATGAATCGTATATAATATATATTGTTAGTACCTCAGTTGAAATACTCAATTTTGATTGGTCAACGAGCGGTGACTAATTTTAACTGTTCACCGTGCAATGCATTGCCGGTGAATAATATTCCCAGCATTCCACTAAAATGACGTCATTATCAGACGATAAAATGGCCGCCGCTAGCACTAGCCGTTTCAAAAATGTTGAAGATGAGGATATTATTAGTCTCTTAGAGAGTAAAGACAGTCAAAATACGAAGAAAAAGTTTTACGTTGGTATTAGAAAAAAAGACGGTGGACTTTATAAGTTGAAATCATTTCAGCTTCTTAAATGGGGAGTGGCACGATACATCAGAGAGACACTTAAGATGGACATTACCAAGTCTGAATTCAAGGCATCAAACGATGTTTTCAAAGCGAAGGTTGTGGAACTGCAGAAGTCAGGAAAAGGTAAAACCACCCACAAACCTGTGTTGTGTTCAAGGGTCAGAAAAATCTAAGATATTCTTCGGACTAACAAAACAATTATAGACCTCTCCATTCGGTTTACTGTCAAAATTATATCCCGAGACTGTAAACCGAGACCGTAAAGGTCGAGGTTTACAGTCTCGGGATATAATTTTGACAGTAAACCTCTGGAGAGGTCAATAATTGTATATAATATATAAAACCTACTATCAACTTTACGAGCACATAGCTTATTTTAAAAGGAAAGAAGTCAGTACAATCCCCAAAAGATGATTAAGTACACAAAAGACTTAATGAAGCACATACCATTCATTTACCATGTTTAGCACTTCAGTTTTCATTTTATTTCGCGATTGTTTTGTGTTCACTTTTCAGGCTGGAGCTGGGTGTGACGTAATGGCTGTCGTGGCGTGGCGTATTAAGGTTATCCCATACCTTTATCACATTAGGAACTAAGAAGGCGGGAAAACATCATGCTAACAAATATACAGACTAGATGTATTCGTTGAGCTATTGCTCTGTTCATTATCAGAAATTTGTAAAACATTTGATCTTTTTGAAATTAAAAATGAACAATGACAAATCAACCCGCTGTAAAGAGAATTTGTTACCGATATACTGTTTTTCTAGTTTGTATTGAATGTAAGGATATTGAAAACAGGAGTGACTAGAATTTGAAGGGACACTAGGTTAATTTGTAAAAAAGCAATATATATAATTATTTCTGGTTTTTCAACCATGCCATCTATTTACCTTGTTTGTGTATGATTTTCACATGGTTCCCCTGAAAAAGCTCAGATTTTCTTGGGTCTCATACGAACGAGATCGATCACGTGCTCCCAATCGTGGTTATTATACATGCGAGATCGATCGAAACCAGTAATTCCAAAAAGTAAACCAAAACAGACCCTTGGACAGCTTCTGCCTTTTGTAAATAATTTTGGCTTGGGGAAAAGAGGGCACTAACTACAAACAATTGAGACCTTTAGACAGCTTCTGTTTTTTTGTATATCAGTTTGGCGCCCGAAAATACAGGGCACTAATGATGATAAGATACTAACAAGAGACCGTTTAGACAGTGGTGCCGACATTAATAATTAACATTAAACATACCCCATAAACTTAGAACTGCGTGAATGGAACGTGATGATGAAAAAACTCTCAAGTATGGTATTAATCCAGTCCGCGTAAAAGCCAAACCACCAAACACGTACAGAACACAGACATCAGAATTAACATAAAAGAAACTTGGTTTTTTGAATAGGAGTTGTCAAAATATAAGTCAGCTGTAATGTATACCAAAATACAACTATACAGATTGCCGTATTTAACCGTCATTTAACGATGAATTAATTTGCATTCTAATATAAAAAGTGAATATATGTTCAATTTTATTTCGTCGACTATGGGAGAATGATAACAACATACTTCTCAAGGCTTATAGTATTCTTATATCTTATTCTAAACATTTGGCGATTTTCAGACACTAAATCCATTACTTTTAAAAATAAATCCAGTTTGGATAACTTCAGTGATTCTGGATTTTACAATGATGTCGAAACTGAGCAGAATTACAGCCTTAAACATGGCATTGGTCAGGAACTAAAAGAACGGATTATCAAAGACAACGGCAGCCATCACAAGAACGTTAATGTTGGAAAGAAATTTAATAGTGATCTCAAACAAGGACGTGGTGTCAATAGCTTTTTGATGGAATATAGACACCGAAGGAACGTAATAAAAGGTATGTGTTGGCCTATATCAATCATGACATTGACGATTCCTTTGGCAATATGATATTGTCAAATAAATGCCAAATATCTGTAAAACATTTAAAATGTCTGACAAAAATACGAACAAGATCGAAAGCATTATGCTACACGTATATAATACGAAATTTTATTAACCATCAACTATCGTTGCTTATCTTTATTTCCGTACTAATTCAATGCCTGTCGTCTCTTTCAGCTTGTCAAGTGTTTTACCTATCAGCGAATTACAGTTCTATCACAAGCAACCCGGACGTGATAAAGTTATATGGATACTATTTTCTGGTACCCAATATAACGCAAAACGATCGTCCAATATATGTACATGAATCTAATTCAGCGTTTTTGAAGTTTATCTGCTTTGGTGAAAGCATTAATTCCTGCCTTTGGGGTGTTAGCGGTAGTGTAAATATAGTTGATACATCATATGAATTGTCGGTGTTGGATACAGCCTTGACTCCAGTGACTATCACGGAAGTCGTTTGGACAGATGGGATGCAAGAGATTGTGTCACGCATTAAGTGCGATGATGGTGAGCTTTAGAGATGTAAAATATGCGTAATGAGGCCTTGATCCATTGAATAAATACATTTGAATCCTTATAACATGAATGTAAAGGTAAATCATCTAAAGATGTCTCTAAGTTGTATGTAGATGTCTTCCCTAGCTATATCAATTTTGATGCGATGTATTAACGACCAAATAGTACAGCTTTTGCAATAACAACATATTTTAAATGTTTTAGAGAGGGGACAGCGCAGGGGTCGCCTGCTCATACTTGACAATAACACCGACAATCGATTCTCTTACTTACGGGGATTATACAACACAACGGGTGACGTCATCAATCATAGACCTGTATACCAATGGATGAAGCCGACACTCGGCTATATTTCTATATTTAGAGATCTTCATCTGTATTATCTCTCTACCTCATCAGAATGGGTATTAGGTAAAAATGTATAAAAAAAATAAAGTGTGTTTGGTCAGACCACACTACAGCTCCTTTTTGAGCCAATTTACATTTCCCTAGGGATTTTATTCACAGTAACTAAGAAGGGAAAGCTATGATGAAGGAGACTTTTTAGGAGTTGTGATTTCTCGTATTGCTAATTATAAAATGTTTATAAATTCAGAACGCGATTTTCTATCACGTTCACTAGATTCACAATAAACGTTTTGTGATTGTATACTACTATTTAATATGATACATTCGATGGAAGTGGACATTTATAATTGGCCCTTTGCATTAAGAGCGCATCATCTCACAAGAAAACAATTGATGTTATTTTATTTTTCAGGGCAAGGTACAGAAGGCAAGACCATTATATGTCGTGTGACTGACCCTGTTCTATACCCAACAAATATCACTAGGGCTTGGATGTGTGCGGATTTCATTACTGATTTGACCATTCCGGAACCATTTCACTTTTTACACTTTGTCCCTAAACCAGGTCAGTATAGTCGAACACATACATATATCTATATATATTTATTTCCATACTAGAAAAAACGTTGTATAGTCAAACACATACATATATCTATATATATTTATTTCCATACTAGGAAAAACGTTGTCTGAAGGTTGTTGAATAACTGTTGTAAAGTTAGTTAGACTCTTTCAAATCTCGAAAGCATAAAATGTACAAAAATAAAATTAATGTATAATGTTTTCGTAAACACAGTTGTCGAAAAGGAAAATCACATGCACAAGAGTCATTCGAAAAGTTTTGCACGAAAACTTCTCAAGACAAGCAGTTCTATTATTTTTAGGTGAAATTTGATACAGCTGTAGTATGTGACCCCTCTTACAAGCTTATATGAAATTTCAAAACCATGGTCCATATGACGTCATTAAATTCAATTGATTTTGTGAATGCCTTGATAGGATGAAATGGTTCAGCCAATCTTTGTCCTTTCAGCTGTTAATCAGGTTATGTTATAACTAATTAATATCTAATCTAAATATACAGTACTTAATATGTAGTCTTACAGTACTTTTCAGTAATTTATTATACTTGTAGCATTATGTCCAGTCCATAAGTAAATGTCTGAATTAGCCTACCCATAGGATATCAAGCCTTCTCATAACTGCAACTACCCTCAATACGTTTAATTTCCCCTCTCTAATTCCATCTTGGAATACTAAGCAATGCCTTTTAGAGTCATCATACGTAATATGTCTTAATGCATGAATCAATATAACGTGTGTAGTGCTGTTTTCCCATTCTTTATCAAATTCTGTCAATGTTTTCTGCTCCAACTTTATTATTTCGAGCCATATTCTCCAATATTCCCTGAATATATGAGAACTTGGGGAGTATGTTTACGGTCATTATTTGGCATAACTAAAGAAAACAAGATGGGTTGAGATAAGATTCACATTTGCCATGAGAACAATACTAGAAATTGTTTAAATTTAAGTTGACAGGTTATGTACAAGCTTATTTAGCTTGTTTAGTAACACTCATCTTTATGTATTACTAGTTATCATTTACAAAATGATAGGGACAAAAAGCCGCATCACCTTGGTTACTACAACAACCGTAAAATGTTAAGTAGTATATCCATGAAACGTTGACATGACAGTGTAAGAGAATAAGATATGGGCACAAACCTACCAATGATGAACAGGATTGGTCCATTATTTTCACAATAATACATATGTGTGCAAAACTTTTTGAACAACCCTTGTTACATGATAAACACAAGAAAACAAACTACAAATAACAATTAATAACTAATTGTTCCTGGCAAGTCTATGAGAAGATATGAAAATGAAATAACGTCAATTCAGTATAATGAAACGAGAGAAATCAGTGTTAAAATGAATATTCCATGTTAAGATAACAGTAACCATGACGTTAATACCTAAAGTCACGCATCATTTGCATTAATTTTGAAAATCCTTTTTTATTTTGAGAGCCGACAACACAAAACATATTAATGACGTCATGGAAAAAAGCTGTGCCAAGTTTTACAGGTTTGAACTTTTAATTAAATCTTCAGCCTGAATTCTTAATCAAAAGAGAGAAAAATCAAGAAAATTAAATTGCAGAATTACAAAAAATCATGAATTCAAACCTAAAAAATATATGTATATGGTCAGTTCAAAATATACCTTTTGTAATTGTATGTTATTGGCGCAATGCATCGTCCTCGTGCCATCTTTATTCAAGAATGAATGATATATTTAAGCAATAAAATAATGATATCTCAAAATGCATATGCTGCTAACAATAACATATCACATTAGTGCTAATCAAAACAGCCTAAAAATTTGAATTGCTGCAACTATCGAGCCTTTGTAACATTTCATAGGCCTAGGAAAAAAGTAATAATTATGTCAATATAGAAGATCTTCTAATTGAGCTAAGTACTACTTTCCTTGGGCATATGGTTATGCTTGAAATGGTATTTCTAAGTTTTGAAATACTTATGTTCCACATTTCAATATGATAAAATGTGCAATATATATAATACGCACTCTATGTTATTTAGTTGTCTGATATGGTATGCAATGTATTCGATCCCTTTGATTTTGGGTGATACACCATATGCTATACTGACTTCTCGGATGACATATTCCCTCATGCATACTAATAAGCAATAGATTATAATTACAAGCACAAAACAGGATAAACTTATTGCAAATTTAAAACGGTAAGACCAGTGATATCATCGATCTAGCAAATATACCATAGCTTCCTTGATTTTCTAAAAAGTTGTAGGCTTTTATTTTTTGTATATTGGTGTTCCCGATATTATCTATTTGTTTAGAAAGTAGACTATAGTATTGCTTAACCATTATAAGCACCCCAAAATGTACGATCATAGCTCGAGTAGCCGCAGATCTCAGCTTTATGGGCTTGCTTATTATCTTAATCTTAACATTCAGACCCAAACAAGGAAGGGCAGTAATTGCGTGCAAGGTGTTACTTGAATCGAACACGACGGTTGAATATGACGACTGCTACAACCGTTTTAATCACTGAAAACGAACTACCAGGCTGACAGTTCACGACAATGCATAATTGGATACAATATTTGGTAATTTGCTTTCTTATCGACTCATCAAATGAATCCGGACTTATTTTTGGTGTACCAAAGAAAATGTGTTTTGGCAAGAGGTTTTACAGGAAGCAATGTTCATTGACCCAATTGTCATTGTTTTTTCCTCGAAGCTACCGTACAAGAATGACTTAATTTGTCAAGGGCATATCTTACCGGTTTGTATATCATATCCAAATTATATACTTTCAAATGCACATGACGCAGAGGCAAATCAGAAGTCTAAAAAAATTAATTGAAAAACATTGTTTGTGGATTAAAAATGAAGATCAATGAAGGTAAAAGGCAACAACGGATGTATGTTTAAGGTGAATCATACTTTCAAGCAATACTTGTAGACATTTTGTGGCCTTTCCGTTTGTGAAAACATTTGATTATATTCATATGTATATTCGTTTAAAATCATATCATATGTATAAAGCTATCATGCAGAAGATAAAACGAAATAGCAGAAGTACCGCGTCAGCAAACTTTTGTGACGTTATTAGTTTGTGATAAAACATATTATTCATTCTATTTCATGTCATTGACATTGGTACGCCTTTCAAATAAACATATTTTTCCACAGCTGACATGCACAATATTGAAATATAAGCACGGGTGTTTACTCGAGTAATGACTTCACTTTTGTTTGTAGTACAATAGCGCAGTGCCTCCAAACAAAGAGACTGTCAGATATTTTAAAAATGTAAACTTTGTTTGTGTTTGTAAACGATCGATTGAAACAGTTATCAATATATGTCCTGCGCCAACTCTGTTCACCTAAAATAGGATAACAGGCGGATAGGTATGTTACAATTTTTGTTTATATGTCTTTAGTTTCATAATTATATGTTCATTTTATATACATATTTTGTTGAATATGTCACACCAGTCTGTAATCGAGCTATAATTCACTGTGTCGATGAACATCTTTTCAAATGTAGATTTGAAAACTAGTCATTGCAGGCAGAATCAGATACATAGGGAGTGACAAAATTGCAAGTAATATGACAATTGAACTACCAATGTATTCCTTACAATATCAAATATAATATCTCAAAAAGATCTTTGATACGTTGTCAATTGGTGAAGTTATTTAAAAGGATTTAAAGTGCAAAATTGTGGGAAAACATTTAAATTCTCCAAAATGGTAAGCATTCTTTTAGACAAATGATATCATTAATGTAAAAATCTTTAGTTTTCCTCAACTAAAGTATTTATTTAGGGAAATCTTACAAAATAGACATGGCAAGGAATGATATAAGCCCAAAGTATTCTAAAATTGAAACAATTTTCGTCAAGATAAAGCACCAAATTAAAGTTATTAAAGTAATTGCTAGATCTGATTCTGTCTTTAAGTGAACTAAGTGGTTTTCTGCTACAATGTGCACTATATAGTAACGATTTTGATATAATGTCCTATCATGTCCATATATTTCTATATATTTCATCGGATAAAGTACAATAAAAGTATTCATTCGGTCATATGTGTATCCGACAAAAGCAAGGTTGAAAGCTATCAATGTATTAACATATCAATGCATTAATATATCAATGTGTAAATATATCATTGTATTTATATATCATTTTTTCTACAGTCAGTATGGAAAGCGGGAGATTTTTCGGTAAGTAGATATATTTTCATAAAGAATCTGAAATATAGATTATGAGAACTTGACCAAACAGGGAATTCTATTTTGATCTATGAAGGCATCACTCGTGTAGAAACTAAATTAATTGCCCTTTGAAATGACAAATGAAAGATACATGTATAGACTGGTTATAAGTTATTGAATGATTTGAAGTGCAATACAGGATATATTCTGTTCGAGAAATTTTGTATTGGGACGAGACGAAGTCGAGTGCCAATACAGAATATCGAGACAGAATATATCCTGTATTGCACTTTAAATCATTCAATAACGTTTTTATCGTGTGATCCTCTGTATTGCTACTGAGATTGTTCCCTCTGTACCAATATTTTCTGTATTGCAACGGAGATGATCAACGGGGACAACCTCAGTAGCAATACAGATTGGTACAGCACAAGAACTGACCAATCAGAGGGCTTCATTTTACAGATCATACGATAAATTGTAGTATTGTGAGCAATAACATTCAATTCTTGTTTTTTGTAACAAAATCAATTGATTATGTTAACTTACTTGTATTTAGCAATTTAAACGCCCTAGTGTGATGATTTGGCACCTGAATAACCGAGTCTAATGCTGCCCTTTCATTTAGGACGGCATTTGATCTGCTTTATGTTATTCAATCAAAAATAAACATTTTCTTTCTGAAAAATATTTAACAAGCCCATACTCAATATAAACCTAACACCCCAGTCACATTTGTCGTACGGAGGGCGTGCGTCGACCGCAGATCAATTAAATCAGTGTATTTCTGCGGCGAGCGTAGGAAAACTACGCTCGCCTTGCGGCCTCCGTACGGTGTATCCTCCTTTACAGGCTGCAGGGTCGCCGTAGAAATTATAACTCGGAGTTATAATATTTGTTCATTTCTGAGGTCATGTATGTTAGCTCCTTATATGAATTGGCTTGTATTGTGTATGTCAAAATATGTTTTAATCAAATTTCAGTTGGCGCAATTGTGCTTTGTCTCGTTGGATCCACACTTTCGGGTAAGCTTAAATGAATGTCATATCTTGTATGAATTCATTATTCATTCTTTAACATATATTGTAATGTAATGTGTTCAGTATGGTTTCGGTAGTTGACAACCGTAATTAAATGCCGAAAAGCTTTCGAACTGTTTAACTTTAAAAACAGTTATGTAATAAATTTAATTGAGAAAACTGAATGAATCAAGAATATAATATGGCTTATTTTGAATTTGAGCTTTCGGGATTGAATTTAATAGGCGCTTAAAATGAAACTTATCAATGCATTTGATTAATAATAAATAAAGCGGCGACTATCAAACAACTATAGTGGATGGTATGTCTTTTGAACTTCATTTGTTCTATTATGATTAATTAATACAACGTACTATTCCCACAGCGAGTAGTCATAATGTGCAATAAATTACGCTTTATTGTTCAATTGTCTAGAATTGTCGATTACAATTAATACGATCCAATATCTAAACTCTTCCATTGTCACTGGAAGGTCATTTCAGTTAATTATAATACTTCAAGGTTTCGACCCACAAGCTTTGCATAATACTGCTTGCAGTAAAATGGTAATTGGCTGAAACCCAATCCTTCGTTGATAGAACCAATTTTTGGATAGTATATAACCATTTATTGAAGTCTGTAACGCGGGAGTGCAATTAAACATCACCTAATATTCGAACACTAGAAATTGTCCATCTCTCTACTAAATACTTGGTTTTAAGATGAATGTTATAGAAGCATTATTACCAAATTGTTTCATGCCAGGTAATTCTCCCTTTCGCGCTTCGCTCTTTGAATCAGAACGTTCGCAAATATGTACTGAAAAAGCACTCAAAAAGGACAAAATTTGATTGGTCAATATTTTCCCACTATGCATTTCGCGTAGCTATTTGCGTGACCCGAAAATTCTAAATCAAACTAATTACGCAATTTTGTTTTTACACTCGCACACTAAATAAAACAATGACACCATCGAAGTATTCTTCTTTGTCATTGCTTTAATAGTCAGTATACCGAGTTTAATCAATAAAAGATTATACAATGAACAACAAAATTCGGAAACGAGTACTATAGATTTGCTTTCGGACCACTGAACAGATTGTCCTAGATCAAGGAGGATTGGCTCCCAGAATCGAAGTCGATATTTTCCAACAATGAAAACGCCGAGATGTCGTTATTTTCTGAAATTATAACCGATTATAAATTCAAAATAAACAGTTCAAAAGATTCGAACCAATATCTCAATCATTTCCTGTGAGTTTTGGAATTTTTCGTTAGGAAATAAGACCGAAATTTACGATTCAAATGTTGAAGTGAACAAAATGGCGGCTGTTGGAATTCAAATTTTGTAGCACGACATGCCCATATATGGGACAGAATATCGATGTTGCACTCTGGGAGCCAATCCTCCTTGGTCCTAGATCATAGCGACGCGTCTTCTTTGGTCTACTGCTCAGTTGCTTGTGGGTTTTCAACGTAACTCTATAATGTAATTTGAAGATGAATACTTTTATTCAGTTGTTGCATCGATGTTGCAGTTTGTAGTGCGGTATGATTGGCAAGAAAGTATTGAAAGTCGAATGTCATTGTTTTTTCCAATATGGCGACTAGTCAACTGATCACATGACCTTCTCTTCCGGAATATTTTCTCACTTTTCAATCATCGTTTTCACCACACTATGAATCAATACAATGAAAAAATAGCACTTATATTAAGATTAATAAGAGATCAATCGTTTCTAATAATTTTTTCTGTACTCTCGTATGCACAGGCTGGTATCGAAAGAATTGTCCGCTGTGACGGAGCATGCTTTTTTCGTACAAAAACACTAAGAATGCTTCACACTTTATTTTTTAACTCATATGTTTCGTTACATCAAGGAAAATTACTTGCTCCATGCAATGGGTATATCATTTGCGGGTAACCTTCACTTCTGTTTGAAGTCCAATAACGCTAGGAGTAAAAGCTATTGAAAACGGCGCCAGAATATCAAACTCTAAAATGTACCATTTCTTTTTAAACTTTTAATGGCATGATATAGTGTCACGGTAATATTAAGATATGTTTTCAGCATAACTCTGAATGTATTAATGAGACATTAACGCATTTCGTCTTTTTAATTTTTTTATAAAAAATAATACGAATATTTTTTGTCCGCTGTGACGGAGCATTTTCACAGTTTACATTTGCAGCTGCTCCGTCACAGCGGACAAAACAATTAAACATTATTTTTTATAAAAGAATTAAAAAGACCAAATACATCAACATCTCATTTATACCTTCATAGTAATGCTGAAACCATGTGTAAATGTTATCGTGTCACTATATCGTGCCATTAGAAAGTTAAACAAGAAATGGTACATTTTGAAGTATGATACTCCGGCGCAATTTGCAATAGCTTTTCATCCCAGCGTAATTGGACTTCAAACAGAAGTGAAAGTTACCAGCAAATGATATATCCATTGCATGGAGTAAGTAATTTTCTTTGGTATAATGAAACATATAAGTTAAAAAATAAATCGTGAAGTATTCTTAGTGTTTTTATGAGGAATAGCATGCTCCGTCACAGCGGACAACTATTTCGATACCAGCCTGTGGTATGGGAATATGAATATGAAAAATAGGTGTGAAAATCCCATGTTAAACCTATGAGGGAAAACAAGGAATTATTTTGTTCCTCTGCGAACTGCATCATGGAAAATATTTTGACCTTATAAGGAAAGATTTTCGCGTCTCCTCTTTTGAAGAGGGAACAACGATTTCGAGAATTGAAGATCGGGTAGGAATCATAGCTGCCGTTTGATTTTCCTTGCTATTATGATTCGATTATTAATTAGGAAATTCCCCTTCAACCTCGAGCTCTAAGTTCTTACACCTTTATTGATATCAATTCTAGTTGTATGATTATAGTACATGTAAGTTGATTATGATTTACAATGAGGCATTATAACTCACACTTTTATATACCACCAGACGGGATCGGAGAAACGCTTGAAGAGTTGAAGTCTCTGCTTGAAAGACTGGAAACTGCTGAAGATCAAGCGAATGAGCGAGCAGCCATAAAGCAGTTGGATATCTTCATGAAAGTAAGCTACTTGAGTGTTTTACGAGGGATTCTATTTTTAAATATGATAACATGAAACATTACATGATAAAAATCAACATCTACAACTTTTTACTCCAGGTCGTAATCAAGCCACCCCGAACTGTAGTTTAACACCCAAAATCACCTTACACCTGGCAAATAGTTTAAGGTACAAGTGCACAACCTAACAAAATTCATTACATTTTCCGATTTGTAATCTTAGTGTCATCTGCATTCATCATCTTCAACTATTTACTTTTTCATTTTCATGTTTTCGAAAATTTCAATTTTTCCAAATTTTTCATTTTTTCAAAGTTTTCATGTTCATTTTTTCAAATTTTGGAGTTTAAGAATAGTTTTAATTTTTTAAGTCTTTAAGTCTTTTTAAATATTGATATCTTCCTTGTGATATCAAATCCCTCCTTGTGAATAATTTATTTGTATTCCATACCTTTTAAGGTTCTAGGTACATAACGTGCGGAAATATTTATAGTTAATTCCATAATACTACTGTTTTCCCAGGGAAATATGAAGGAATAAAAATCGTATTGAATCGTATTACATGAAAAAGATCATATTGTCCCCGGGAAAAAAAATCGTATTGGAGCGTATTACATGAAAAAATCGTATTGTACCCGGGAAAAAATCGTATTGGAACGTATTAACCTATTTTTGGTTTCCCGGTTATTTTTAACCTTGGCTAATTGATAAAAGCAATATCCAAATGTTACATTTTAGAGGAATGTATTATGGAATAAATAGGTTATTTCTGGTCGGGATTGAATATGGATTCCAGTAAATAACCTATATGTATCAAGGGAGGGGGATAGATATTTTGTGTATCCAAAGCTTATAATATCGATTTGAAAAATACATAGTGGGGAATCAAAGCGGTCCAGGGGGAGAAATGTCAAGGGGGTGAAATGTCCAGGGGGTGAGACGTCTAAGAATGAACAGTCTAGGGGTGAAACGTCCAGGGGGTGAAATGTCTAGATGGCAAAGCCGCAGACTGCGACTCACGTAATTCAAAACGAGGTTTACAACGCATTATTGCTGTACCATGGCGGTAGATCCAAACTTAATTTGGAGGGCATGTTAAGATGTAGGGGTAAATCATTGGTTTTGATAAATCATTTAGGAGCAGGTATGTCCCATTCGGTGATCTTTATACATATACTCCACCTGCAATTGCATTTTTATTGCCCGGCCTTCCGATAGCTTAAAGCATGAACACACACAAATTCGAAATCTGCTCTTAAATTTTTTTTAAATGTCACGATTTAATGTCACCGATTTAAACATTAAGGGAAAGGGGAAATATCAGTATTTGTCTAAACATTCAAGTACTATTGGCACTGTTCGTGTGATCTTTGGTAAGCGGAAAACGTACCATTACTAAGAAAATTGGAGTAGCGCCTGTCCATCCATCCCAACGCAGTCTGGCTCTCAGTGTTGCTCTCTATGGATAAACCTCAACGTAAGCACACCCCAGCCAAAGGCAAATAGGACGTTTACTGGACTGCGTCCACTGTAAATGCTCAATTTCTTATCAACATAACAACATCGTTTTGATTCTCCACCTTGAAATGAAAATACTATTTTTACTGTGTTTTTTGACAATTTAAAGTTTATAATCTAATTTCCCTATTCGGTGCATAACACTTATCTGTTGGGTTTATGGTGTTTTGGGTGCTATGGTTTGAAAACTAATTTTCAGAACGGATTAACAGACCCTCTTGAAGAATGCCCTGATGCAAAAAGAATTGTTGCTGATGCGAGGGCCGAATTAAAGCGTATTCAGAAATTAACAGTTGCGGAAGTAAGACAAATGAAAAAGAAAAAGGCCTCGACTAACCAACTTTCGAAAGCTATGAAATGTCTACAGGGTAAGAATTAGCATGGGATACAAAATGTATACACATTATAACAAAGGCGTATGTTGCTATATGACGATATAATGAGAAATTAAGAAAGATATACAATGACTACATAATATGTTTTTGAGATCAACTGGCTAAAAATATGCGTAACTATGAAATTAAAGTGGGTATAATGATACATTTATATAATGACAGCAGTGCTACATAAGTCGTTTATCAGTGTTTATAGCTAAGAGTCATTGGTTCGATTCATACACTGGGCTTTTAGCAGTTTCATCATTTCTGTATCTGATTTGTTACACTATGCTCGGTAGTTACTCTTTCCTATTCTCATATGAAATGGAATACAAGGGTCGATCTGTTTCCTCTGTTGGCTCTAGAATTTAAAATAAGAAGAGTTAGATGCTCAAACTTTAACATGAGACGGAGAAGTTAGTTTGCTTGAAACTGTATTATACGAATTGTTTTATTGGGGCTCGCATATTTGACATTCCTCATTTTAATCAGACATGTCCAATATGCGCTTTGGGGTTCATTCTCTTTTATTCTTTAAATCCAAAGGACGATTCTCGGTTTGGAGAACGAAGTTCATCAATCTAAATGAGCATTATCCCTGCCTCGGACAAATTTGATTTTTTTACATAATATAGATTTGAATGTCTTCTTTTGAATAGTCATAATTTAATTTGGGTAATATTTCTAGATTTTTCGCAAAAAAATATTAGCACAGTACACTGATGAACTTCTTTCCCCAAATCGAGACTTGTATTTTATTGAATCGGTCTAATTGAGGATTATCCCTGCTTCAGACCAATTTGTTATTTGTACATCTTGTAGATTTAAATGTCCTCTTTTGAATATTCATAGTTTAATTTGGGTAATATTTCTATATTTTTCATGAAAAAATTATTAGCCCAGGAGACTGTTCTCCAAACCGAGAATCGTCCTTTAAAATATATATTCGTTCAGTACCTCTCCAAATGAATGAACTTGTAATGTAAGGTAATATCATCATTGTTGATTACATACATATTTATGTTACGTATAACGTCCTATTTTGTTGCGTAGACGTCAGCGAATAGCTATCCACAGATACTATTCCACGTCAATGACTGCCACACAAGCAGTTATCTCAGCTCATCCACGGTGACTGAGCGCAATGATTTAGGCGTTTCCCTTATATTATTCATTCATTCCCAGGATACATACTGCCATCCTACAGGATGCGCTACAGTATGTTGACGTTTTGGTCACATCAAATGCCCTACCTTCCGTGTGTACAGTCGCCCACCCACACGGTGGCCAGTACAATCGGGCCGGACGGTCATTTTATTATGATTTGTTTATGAATACGATTTCGTTGTAGCAAAGGGAATGAACTCATATACTAATCAAATGTTTAGAGCCACAAGTGCAAAATAAATATTTTTATTTGTATATAATTCTTTTCTTTTGTGATTAGAAACTGAGTACATTGACGTTGCATAAATGTTTCCAATGCTTGAGTTGGAGGTGGAGCAGCATTATTCTAAAAAACTGCTAAGCTGCGGTTCTGGACATTTCTAAACACAGTTTAATCATGTTATTTTTATGCTCATATCAATTCTTCAAAATATTCATCCAAAGCTGCTATGCACCTCATACAACTGTCCACCCAATTCAGAGTCGAGACACATGTTTAAGACCTCCTTCTTGTGAGATGGTGTAAACTCAAGAACCGCAATTTATAGTCTGGCAGAAACTTCAAAGCTAATCGTTTTCTTCTGATTACAATGTTTTTTTTAACTTATCAGCATGAATACAGGGTCGGGACCTCAAAACCATCGGATGTCAGAGCGGCACCCTTGGGCAACTCTCTACAGAGCATTTCTTATACCCTGATAAAATATACAGGGGGTACTATAAGGCACCCTCATATCTCAGACACTAATAGTCAGGTTTTTACATTTCACTTTCTTTAAAAAGGTGGTCCAAAATAACACTTCTTGAAAAGATTATGCTCCCTAGGTAAAATAAAGTGCTGTTTTAAAGATAAATAGTCACATAAATTTGTTAAATTATAACTTAATTCTACCCCATCTCGACAGCCACAAAATTTGATGATTTTGGTGAAACTGGCACATTAATTTTCTAGGTCCAAATAAAAAATGCCTCCAGTGGCCCACAGAAGCTATACCATGGACCCTAGAGGCCCCCAGAAGCTATAAAAGGGCCTCCAGTAGCCACAGAAGAAGTATACAGGGGGCCCTAGTGACCCCAAGAAGCTATAAAGTGGCCCCCAGAAGCTATACAGGGGCCCTTAGTAGCCCCCAGAAGCTATGCAGGGGCCCTTAGTAGCCCCCAGAAGCTATATGGTGGGCCCGAGAAGCTATACATAGGCTCCAAATGGCCCCTAGAAGTTATGTGGTGACACCCAGAAGCTATACGGGGGCCCCAGAAGCTATATAGGGGCTCCAAATGGCCCCTAGAAGCTATATGATGGCCCCAGAAGCTATACAGAAGCCCTCAGAAACTATACAGGGCCTCAAGTGGCCCCCAGAAGCTATATGGTGGCCCCCGTAGCCCCAAAAGCTATATGAAAGCCCCCAGAAACTGTGCGGTGGTCCCTAGTGGTCCCCAGAAGCTATACAAGGGCCCCCCAGTAGCCCCCAGAATCTATACAGTGGTCTCTAGCAGCCCCCAGAAGCTATATGGTGGCCCCCAGTGGCTCCAAGAAGCTTTACAGTGGCCCCTAGAAGCTATACAGGGGCCCCTAGTGGCCCCAGGAAGCTATATGGTGGACCCCAGAAGCTATATGATGGCCCCCAGAAGCTATAGGGTGGCCCCCAGTGGCCGCCAGAAGCTATAGAATGGCCTCAAGTGGCCCCCAAAAGCTATATGTTAGCCCCCAGAAGCTGCAAGTGGCCCCCAATGGCCCAAAGAAACTATACAGGGGCTCCCAGAAGCTATACGGTGGCTAGACTATGCCAACCTCTCTATTGTATGATTACATTAGATTTCATATGGATACATATAAAACTGATAGCATATAATATTGTACTTGGTACATGATAACCACCAAAGTCGTATTGCTCAGATGAGGAAAACTAATGGTTATAATGTTAAGACATTATGCCAAAGTCTAGACTATATGAGGTTTACAACTCATTTTGAAATGTACACTGAAATCATGAAACACTTCAGTGTACATGTGGAATAATTATTTCATATATACATATTGGAGAGCGCTTCATGAATATAAACATATTAGGAAATACCGCACAACTCATTTTTCTGGTTTAAGCTGCCACTAGGAATGATCAAAATAATTGTACATGTAGATAAAAATCTGGTAGGGTATCCCTTTTGATAAACTAATTGGTTATACCACGACTCTTCCGAGAGTAATAGTTCTGTTCTGTTCTGTAAATGTTCTGAAGAATGATATGATGACAACAATAATTTTAGATAAACTGATGGGAGACCCCTTATACGATAACCTATTTGGACCTACTACAGCTCTTTCAATGGTTGAATCTACTCTAACAATGATTGTTAACTCGAATACTATTGAAGATAGGAACACCGCAATGACAGATGCAGTTAAGCTGATAAAAAAGGCTTGCGTAAGCATCGTTATTAATTGTTCTGTGAATATGTTTGTCCCATTCTACAATGTGTTCCATTGACTTTTTATCGGGCACAGTTATTTTGAAACGGCATGCATTCAAATGCAGACGATAATCTTGTTCAACTTATCAAATCCCATCTTTGCAGGATGAACTAAAGCCTGTATTGCGATCAAAAGACAAAGACATCAGGAAATATGCAAACACTTTGAAAAAACTTTTGAAAAATAAAATCTTAAGGAGTTGTAAAAAAATATCAACAGTTCTTAAAGGCCTGACTGGAGCTATGGGAAGGTTGAAAGATGAGCTAAGGCAACTCATTGAAGCTTTTGATGGATGTATTAATGAGATGGATACAACCACTGAACCAATGGCGGTAACCACAACATCAGAGGAAACAAAACAAAAAGACCGTATGTACAATCCATTTCTTGTAACTTAACTTTGTCACCCAACAGAGTTTCATTTAAAAAAATAGTTTTATTTAAAAAAGAGTTTTATTTACTAACTACTCGTTCATTGTATTATCTTGGGTTATATGTTATGACCTTAAGTTTAATGTAAATTTACATTGGTTTTGGGACACGTGAGCTCCTTGTGGTTGATTATTCATTTGATTTCATATTTGCTTTAGCGTGCTATTTAATGACGCCACTATGTAATGAGACTGTTTTAATACAATGGCGATACCAACCATATGAACCCATATGTGTATGTAAAGGTATGTACACTCCCCTCAAAAAAGGAAGTGGTGTTTTAAGAGGTAAATTACCTCGTGGTCAAAATGAAATTTATAAGATTTCAATGTTAAATAATACTTTGGAAAATATTTAAGTGTTTGGAGACACTTAGGCTGAGATGTGGGTCGTTAAGTTCAGAAAGGGTGTATTGACTTAACATGGGGATGTGAACATCTGACTTAAAGCTTCTTTTAGCAAGGTCAATTTTGTAAATTTCTCTCTTAATTCAGCTGCAGGCCTGATTAATTATTAGGTATACATGCACGTAGCACACCTCAAGTACAACTGTGGTCGATATTATAGCGATAAAGATATCGTTTCTTTCCTTGCTGAAATGAAAGCGACGGTGCATCACCAAACATTATATCTTGTCATGTCACCGTACCTATTTAGCTCACACTCGCTTTCCTACTCTATTATGCACACCATACTTTATCTTACACACAAAATTGTCCAAAATGAGATAAAGAAATTCGCAAATTCAATTTTATATTTCGATTTTCAACCTAAAAGTTTTTCACTGTAGGTTTCAAGGTCAAGTGAAGGTCGTTACCATGGTAACCATAAAAAATATGTTCTATAATTGAATTAAAACATGATGTATAAAAGTTTTGACCATTATAAAACAATTGATTGTGGAAATAATGAAAATGTTCAGTGAGTTTAGCCTATGGGACCTCCTTTGGGGATGTCTTATCGTTCTGAACCGTTCTTCAATAATTATTCATGTTATGATTGTAAACATATGATGTTACTTCATTATAATCTTGCAAATGAGGTATTTTTGGCAAGAAAGAATGCCATAAATGAATAATATAAAGCTCCTTATCATTATTCGTCTTATTATGCACCTTCTTAATCAACCCTTTGAGTGTGTTACGATGTACTCACATTTCTGAACTTTTGATTTTCTCGAACAGCTTACGTCTAGCTATACACCGAAATAAAAAAAACATTGTCTTGTCCCGGGATTTAATTTACATTTATTTGAGTCGTTCTTGCAGAATTATGCGTAATGTTTTAGAATGATACGGGTAATTGTGGTTGATTAAGTACATCTTTGTTTCTTCTATTTGCCATCAATTTCTGATGTTAGCTTTAAATATTATAACTTGAGTTATTGAGAAATAAAACTCTTAAGTGGGAAATGTTGCAAAAATATTGAAAACAAATTGGTCAGTTGCAAAAAATCTTTGGCAGCTCTTTAAAAAACAGATATGGTCAAATTACCAGCAGCCTAGAACCAATCAAGTTTCAGTATCTATCTTATTTGATGTAACAAAATCTTTGAAAGGTGCGATCAGTTCATAGGTGCAACATTAAGCATCGCATATACACTGTCACCGACACCGACACAACCTTTATATATTATAAAACGTGAAGTATACACAATCGGAATTGCTTAACTTATCTATTTAAATATTTCATATCCGTAGGAACAGTCATACGATTTGAATGGGAAGGTAATCACAATGTGATGGGTTTGAAGAATAAGAAAGCATTTGACAATTGTGAAATTGGTGGTAACGTCGAATCTGATGAAACAAAGATGGCAGAATACACATTGGACCAGGTAAGAAAATTTAGTATTGAATTGCATTGTATATGTACTTGTCGAGACTGTAGGGTCAAGATTGCAGTTAAAAATCCCATTTAGGACCATTATAACGTTTCATTTCATAATATATTCACGGGCACAGTTCTAGCTCAGCGGAATGGTGCCTAGTGTTCATTGGAGCCACGAGTCTTGTCTAGCTTCCCATTACAAGATAATAATACGCCGTTTTTTGAGATACCTGAATCTGGAGAGAGCTACCACTGTAAAGCTCAAAATTCTGTTTCTAACCAAACTTGTAAATATTTCCTGATAGATTAGTATTTACCCTATCGAGAATAAACCTTGATTCATTTGTCAAACACTAAATGGCGCTGCGACGGGCCAGAAAAGGAGAAAAGGCTTATTATACTGGGAACCAAATAACCAATAACTCTGTATCCCTACTTTGAACTATATTCTGTAGGGTTTTATTATGATATGTTTTTAAGGGATATCATTTTTTTGTAAATGCCATAACTTAACTGTCCTTGAATTTGATACTATGTTCAAGATATTCTAAAAACGAATCATCTTAAGATATTTTATATTAAAAGCCAGGTAGGCCTATAAAAACATGTAATGCACTGGGAACTTAGTTGAATGATAATGAAAATATTTTGATTTGAAAAGTATTTACATTTTATTTAGGGATTATTTTTCTTAATTTTAGTGTAAGACATTTTACTTTGCGTGTGGTGTAGGCGTTCATTGTATGATTGGTGAACAGAAGGTAGAAATTCAAGTCATCGAACGACAAGAAGAAATGAACCCTGATGACGAAACTACTACACCCATTGTGACCATGTCTACATCAGTGCCTTCGACGATGAAACCAGAAAACGATTGTAAGTAGTATCGTATGGTGATCTATACCTCTAATGATCCATTGACCTATATTATGTGGTATTGCTGGGCGCAAAGGTTCCTCACCATCAAGGATAATTGTATATTAATTGAAAATCAAGATAAATTAAAGATAATACAGAATTGGTCAAAGCTACAATACTACCTCCTTCACACTTTCATTTTCCTTCCACGTTTGAAAAAACAATTCTAATTTTCTCGAAAGTGATTTGCAATTCATCTTATTTTAAAAGAATGTAAATTCTCTTCTTTCAATATTCTTGATGAATGCATCTAACGTTAAAAATAAAGATTCTTCTGGAATAAAATAAGAATTTGGGGAAATTTTAAAAGATCCCATCTACTCCCTCTATGTATTATATCATATAGCTTGCAATGAGGTGCTGGATGGAAAAACGATAGATTGGAATTGGAATGCGGGCAATGAAGAATACGAATCCATATGTGTTAAAGAAGGTATGTTGATGTGTCCAACAATTCCTATATACTAATACAATTAATCCATACCGAACCGTCTATATCATAAAACATAAATGGTTATGCATCAATTTCAGTAAATCTATAACACAAGACCGGATAGGCGAATATTTCTACTGCTATTTCTCTAAGATGCACATATTTATCTACAATTTGATCCTAGATATCGAAGGATATTAACGACATTGCATTCATTTAGTTCCTAGCCATTAGTTATTTAACAAATTAGCAAGTCAGTTAATTGCCCATAACACAAAACCACATAGCCTATGTATCCAGTTTAATTACTGGTAGTCTATAACAAAAAACGCATAGTTACTAGTTAGCCTATAACATAAAACGCCTTTGTATCCAGTTCAATTACTATTATATCTAGTTGTCTCATAACACAAAACTGCACTAAGTTACTATAATCTAGTTATTAGTCTATAATCATGAAAAGCGTATGTATCCAGATAATTTTACAAATTGCTAGTAGTGTATAATGCAAAACAGGTTAAAGCTTTATATATATTTAAATTGGTCAATAAAACAAAATTACATACAGTATGTACCCAGTTCAGTATTAGTCTATTTATAACACAAAACTGCATACGTGTCACCATTCCATTTCGTCTTAAATACAAAACTGATGCATTTTGTAAGTATCAATTTCAGTTAGCTCAAAACACAAAAGGGCATAGGCTATGTATCCGTTTTGAACCATCTATAACGAAAAAACAAAAGAGCTTTAAATATGTATCGAATTGTCTGTAACACATAACTCCATTTAGCTTTTTATGTAACATATAACAAGATATTGTAGCATATTGATGTATGGATCATTCGTACAAAATAAGTTGTCACATTTTGACATTGTTAGGTTCAACAGTAACATTCGTCTGGGGAGATGGGAATCACAATGTTGAACAATTAGATCATGACGAATACATGAATTGTGGTGTCACAATGTCAGGCAAAGATGATGCTGGTACTAAATCGATAACATTTGAAAAGGAAGGAACATATTACTTCGTATGTGGAGTAGGGAAACATTGTAGCGTTGGGGGCATGAAGATTAAAATTATAGTAGTAGAAGAAGACGAAGAAGAAGATGAAGAAGAAGAAGAAGAAGAAGAAGAAGAAGAAGAAGAAGAAGAAGAAGAAGAAGAAGAAGACAAAACAACAACTATTTCAACAATAACAACAACAACAGATGACGACAAGACAACTACTGAAGCTATGGAGACTTCAACAAAGGAAGAAGAAGAAGAAGAAGATAATGATGATAATGACGACGACAAAACAACTACTACCACAATAACAACAACAACAGATGACGACAAGACAACTACTGAAGCTATGGAGACTTCAACAAAGGAAGAAGAAGTGGAAGAAAATGATGCTAATGACGACGAAACAACAACTACTACAACAATAACAACAACAACAACAACAGATGACGACAAGACAACTACTGAAGCTATGGAGACTTCAACAAAGGAAGAAGAAGAAGAAGAAGATAATGATGATAATGACGACGAAGGTAAAACATGCAAAAATAATTCATGAAAACACTTGCATGATATACTGGGATCTATCGTTCAAAGAAATGTATATACAGGGTGGTCCAAAAAGGTGAACCCTGGCAACTAGCTATATCTCAGTTATTTCTTGCATTAATGGGCTGATATTCTAAGAGGAAGGTCGAAATCTTTTGCGGGTATCACAAAGGTCACTCAAGCAAGTCTAGCAGAAGTTACATGGCATCACCAGACATGATTGATAAATAGGTGATGTGCTCAATCTATGCTCTACAGTTCTAAATAACTGCTTCAACGCGAATGTTGAAGCTATCCACTGCTAGTTCCAGTATATCCAGGGGTGCTATGTAGTTCTTTAACATTTTTCTTTATTTGAAGGAAAGAATTGTTGAACATCCTTTATATGATCCACGTGGAATCAACTTGGATATATGTGGCAATAAACGTATATTCCACATGGAATCCACACTTTTTTTGCAAGTGAATTTGATCCACATGGATCCTCATTATTGTCACATGTTTCAATAGGGATTTTTCGCAAGGATTCCATGGGAATAAACATGGAAAATCTTTCCCTATTCCATATGTGGGCATTACGAGGATTCCAGATGGTTCCTCGTGGTAAAGGTTCCATGTGGATGTGGATTGACTATATCTAATGTTTTTGAGCAGTAAACAACTTCAACATTCGCATTACAGCAGTTATCCAGAACCGTGAAGCATGGATTGAGCACATCACCCATTTATCAGGCATGTCTGTTGATGCCATGTAACTTCTGTAAGACTGAATTAAGACTGGGTGACCTTTATTTTACCAACATTTTTAAATATGGTTTTAAATAGTTCTATGGGACGATGGTCAAGCTTTGATTTAACCAATTTAACTAGATTCCTTCTTACTTTCAATCCTAGAAGAGCACACCAATTAAATCATACGTAAAAATATACACGAAGCTTAAAATCGATTGGTAACAGTTGTAACTTGGCCAAGCGCAGATTCAGCGATGATGTAGTCATGGTCACAATGGGTGTAGTAGTATCGTCATCAGGGTTCATTTCTTCTTGTCTTTCGATAACTTGAATTTCTACCTTCTGTTCACCAATCATACAATGAACGCCTACACCACACGCAAAGTAAAATGTCTTAACCTAAAAAGATAACCCCCAAATAAAATGTACCCAGTTATATCATTTTATTTGGGGGTTATCTTTTTAGGTTAAGACATTTTACTTTGCGTGTGGTGTAGGCGTTCATTGTATGATTGGTGAACAGAAGGTAGAAATTCAAGTTATCGAAAGACAAGAAGAAATGAACCCTGATGACGATACTACTACACCCATTGTGACCATGACTACATCAGTGCCTCCGATGATGAAACCAGAAAACGATTGTAAGTAGTATCGTATGCTGATCTATACCTCTAATGATACAGTGACCTATATTATATTGAATTGCTGGAAAATCAAGATAAATGAAAGATAATACCGAATTATTAAAACTAAACTAGATGTATAAGATTGCAAGCAATCGTATAAAGATTGCAAGCAATCTTACGGAGGCCCCGTAGGCTTTTTTGAACATTTAAAGGTCAGCCAAAGGTCAAATCTTAAAAACAAGGTCAATGAACTCCAGGCATCTTGTAGATGATTTTAAAAAAAAAGTTTGGTCAATTTGAAGCAATGTGAAGTTTGACCTTGAAAAATTTCAACATTAGACCTTTTTTCGGTTTTTGAGTTCTAATATCTCAAAACTGGTACCCAATTTTAATAAATAGTCAATTGCTAATATGTGTAGAACCTATAGAGGAATATATATCCTGACTTTCATGAAAAGATATTGATTTGTAGTCACCAAAACTTAGAAACTTAGAAAACACAGTTTGTGATTAAGTTTGATGACCTTGACCTTTGACCTTGCAAGTCTTACTTTTTTAGACCTCAGTGGGTCTTTTGTGATCAAATATACCTAAATTTGAATCCAGAAAATCAATTTAAAAAATCAACTTTTTTGACCTTTAGAAGGTCACTGAAGGTCAACCAAAGGTCAAAGGTCAAAACTAAGGTCAGATTTGAGTTCCTGAGAACTTGTAGATGATTTTTAAAAAAACATTTGGTCAATTTGAAGCAAGGTGAAATTTAGTCTTGAAAAGTTTCGAAATTTGACCTTTTTTCAGTTTTTGAGTTCTAATATCTCAAAACTGGTACACAATTTTAATAAATAGTCAATTGCTAATATGTGTATAACCTATAGAGGAATATATATCCTGACTTTCATGAAAAAATATTGATTTGTAGTCACCAAAACTTAGAAACTTAGAAAACACAGTTTGTGATTTAGTTTGATGACCTTGACCTTTGACCTTGCAAATTTTACTTTTTTAGACCTCAGTGGGTTTTTTGTGATCAAATGTACCTAAATTTGAATCCAGAAAATCAATTTGAAAAATCAACTTTTTTGACCTTTCGAAGGTCACTGAAGGTCAACCAAAGGTCAAAGGTCAAAACTAAGGTCAGATTTGAGTTCCTGAGAACTTGTAGATGATTTTTAAAAAAAAAATTGGTCAATTTGAAGCAAGTTGAAAAATGACCAATTTTTACCGTTTTTTGACGTCAATTATCTCAAAAACGGTAAAAAATTAACGCGAACATATAGTGAGTAATTTGTAGGGAATGCTTATATCTAGTTACATTTTAATTCATCGCAAAAAATAATGAAGTATGAGGACGAAATCTGAGAAACTTAGAAAAAACTTTGATTTGACTTAGATTTTGACCTTTGACCTTGACCTAGATAAAAATTCCTTTCCCGGTAAGTTCAACCTAGGTCCCTAGTAGGTTCATATAGTAGATAGTTGAAATCTAGTTAAAAGTAGGAGAAAAAGTGCAGAGAAGAATAAATAATAACTAGATTTGTGAAATTGAACAAGTTCAATTTAAGACTCCAGATTTATTTTACCTAGATAGATCAGTAAAGAGCTGAGTAAGTAACTCGGTAATTAGCTGAGTAAGTACCTTAGTAGTAGTTGAGTAAGTAGCTGAGTAAGTAACTGAGTAAAAAGCTGAGTAGGTAGCTGAGTAAGTAGCTGAGTAAGTACCTGAGTTAGTAGCTGAGTAAGTTGCTAAGTAAGTAATAACTAATTAAGTAATTGAGTAAGTAGTCAAATAAGTAGCTGAGTAGGTAGAGAGGTAAAGTAGGGTATGCAGGAATTTTTGGTGTCCAAACTTTGAAGGAAAGTGTAGCTTTTGAGGTCCCCTTCTTCTATGGGCTTTCATTATGTTTAGCTGTACTCATTCTTTATCTCGTATTTTTACACTTCAAAAAATTATTCAGTCCCATTGATTTAACATGGGGCACCAAATTTAGCGATTTTTGAGATCTCAAAACGCCATTACTTCAGAACAAGTAGTCAGATCGAAATTTGGTTTGCAGATTCGGATTCCTGACAAAATTCTACCCCTAATTCATAACTCATACGTTAAATTTAGATTTTTTTATTTTGACCTACTTTTTGGACACGCCATAACTTCCGAACCGGAAGTGGGATCGAAATATGGTTTGCAGATTCGGATTCCTGATAAAATTCTACCCCTAATTCATAACTCATAAGTTAAATTTGAAGAATTTTTTATTTTGACCTACTTTTGGGACACCATATCTCAAAAGTGGGTCAAAATACTTCCTGACGGCAAAAGGCTAACACTATGAGCACACTCTTGGCTACATGTATACACAATTTCGAAGAATATAATTAAAGTGTAGTGTCAGAATCGCAAAAATAAGGAAAAACTTTGAATTTGACCTAGATTTTGACCTAGGCATTTTTGTGTCCAAATTTTTAAGCTAGATGCCTTTTGAGGTCCCCTTCTTTTAAAAGCTTCCATTATATTTAGCTGAACTCAGTCTATATTTCGTATTTTTCACTTCAAAAAAATCTTTTTTCCCATTGACTTAACATGGGCACCAAATTTAGCGATTTTTGAGCTGTCAAAACGCCATAACTTCCGTACTAGATGTCGGATCAAAATTTGGTTTGCAGATTCAGGTTCCTGAGATCATTCTACACTTATTTCATAGCTCACATGTTGAATTTGGAGAACTTTTTGTTCTGACCTACTTTCCGGACGCCATATCTCAAAATCGGTACGAGTAATTAAAAATCTGATGGCATATCTTTGAAAGAGCTGTTTCTAAGCTACATGATGAAAAAAAGACAAAGTTGTTTCAATAAATAACGACGAAGATAATTGAAAGAATGTTGAAAATGCAAGATTTGACCTAGTTCTTGACCTTTGACCTAGATAAAAATTTGACCTAATTTCCCATCATCCCAGATACATTCCCTAATTGATCATGTAAGCAGCTTAAAGTAAGCTCTTCTAGTTGGTGAGAAATCTTGTAAGGAGGAAGAGGAAGAATAACTAGATTTGTGAAATTGAACAAGTTCAATTTAAGACTCCAGATTTATTTGACCTAGATAGATCAGTAATTAGCTGAGTAAGTACCTTAGTAGTAGTTGAGTAAGTAGCTGAGTAAGTAACTGAGTAAAAAGCTGAGTAGGTAGAGAGGTAAAGTAGGGTATGCAGGAATTTTTGAAAGTATATTTGATCAATCTGCATCGTGAATACTGGCAAGTGCGAATTTCAAACTTCAAAATGGCGTAGAATCTAAACCGGGGGTCGGATTGCAATTTTAATTTCAGATCCGGATTCCTGAGGAAATTCTACCCCTAATTCATAACTCATACTTTAAAATTGGAGATTTTTTTATTTTGACCTATATTTTGGACACCATATCTCAAAAGTGGGTCAAAAAACTTATTGACGGCAAAATGTTACATTATTAGCACACTCTTTGCTACAGGTATACAAAATTTCGGAGAATATCATTGAAGTGTAGTGTCAGAATTGCAAAATAAAAAAAATATGAATTTGACCTAGATTTTGAACTAGGTATTTTGGTGTCCAAACTTTGAAGGAAAGTAGCTTTTGAGGTTCCCTTCTT